AAAAAAAAAATAACTCCTATGTAGGACTTTGCAACTTCTACGTAGGACTTTATAAGTCCTACATAGGACTTTATAACTCCTACGTAGGAGATAAAAAAGCCTTATTAGGAGTTTATTACTCCTATGTAGGATTTTGTAAGTCCTACGTAGGAGATAAAACAAAAGCCTAATTAGGAGTTTATAACTCCTACGTAGGACTTTATAAGTGTTCCTCTACGTAGGAGTTTTAAAGTCCTACGTAGGAGTTATAAACTCCTAATTAGGCTTTTTTATCTCCTACGTAGGAGTTATAAAGTCCTACGTAGGAGTTTGTAAGTCCTACGTAACACTTTAAAACTCCTAATTAAGTTTTTATATCTCCTACGTAGGAGTTATAAAGTCCTACGTAGGACTTACAAACTCCTACGTAGGAGTTATAAACACTTAATTAGGCTTTTTTTTATCTCCTACGTAGGAGTTATAAAGTCCTACGTAGGAGTTGATGATTTTGATATTTTGAGTCCTAAAAAACCAGTATGAATAATAAAAAAATAAAAGAATTTCTTTCAATAAAAAGACTCATCATTCATAACCAATGCTACGTACTTCATCGGTTATTTATCAAAATAATGGTTCTTGTCGTCATTATAATTATTATATGACTATATTCAATCGCCCTGAATAAATCAGTAGAGTTACTTGTATTGACCTTTAGTTCAATTTTTGTCTCCCATAATATTTCAAAATGAAAAATGTGGTAATAAGCGATATTTTCTTTGGGTATACAGACATGGTATTTAACAAGAAATAAAAGTATTTGTATTATATGGTATTTAACAAGAAATAAAAGTATTTGTATTTATCTAAAGAAAACATCATACAATCATAAAAGCCTGGATATGATGAATGCATGTTAAACGATAACTTATACAAAGACGTTTTTCACGCATTTGAACAGAGTAGTCGTCAATGTAATATGAGAGAAAACTGGTTGTATTTGCTTCCTGTTCGTGTAAATTAAAGATTAAAAAAGAAGAAATGTTGAAAGGATTATTTATTTTAGCTGTTCTTATTTTGTTATTGTCAATTCTTCAGACATGTAAGTATAGCTTTAAAAAATAATTTAACTTATAGACGAAATACAGAATGATGATTTAATTATCATTTAATTTACATTATAAACATGTATATAAACAGAACCTGAACTGTTGAAATATTGTTAACTCTTAGTATCTTGTAATTAAGCAATCTGTTTTCGTCCATAGCTAAGTAGTAAAGGTTTCTATGAATCTATCAAGATTTCATTTTATGCCTGTAATCAAATATGGAAGGACAACTGTTATCTTTCTTAATAACTAACGCTGCATAGATGCCGCATTACATTTTGACACATCTGCCCATTGAACACTTAGTTTAATCAATTTGATTACATGTCACATTTATTCTATGAATATCTGGAAGTAATTCACTGTTTCTATGAACGCCAAGGTTTAATTTGAACAAACTAATAAAATGGGTTTTAAGTATTGCTTTAATGTTTCGTATAACTTGTCTATAATAACCCCCTGAATATACCAAACACATTTGTAATTAAAATATGAAGAAGGCAATGATGAATTTGTTACCAGCTCGTGACATTAAGGATGAAAAATTGAAAAAGTATTATAGTGCGTTGAGATATGTGATAATTTCCTTAATACTATTTCAAAGCCATGTAAGCTATTAATGAAATTTAAAAATCAATAATTTGACGTTATAAGATTTTTCTTTTAAATTTAGTTTCACAAAGCATTCTTACATAAACGCTGTATCGGTCTGTCGTAGTTTTTGTTCACATATTAATTAGCATAACAAAATATGCCGCGAGAACCGCAGATTACTATCGCATATAATATTACTGACGAATCGTAATTTAGTGATGTATTGAGATATCGGGCTTCAACGAAAAGTACTAATTGCGATTAATGTATAATCGCATAAAATATAAGATATCATTAAATTTTGCAAAATAAACACGACAGTTTCACAACCAAATAGATAACAGACAGCGTGTCGAATATGATTAATTTGGAAAATTGTTATGTTCAATAAATTGAAAAAGTACCGTTTTTTTATTATTTTTACGTTCTTTTCTATTTTTTCTTTTTTCTTTTAGTTGTTTATCTTTTTATATTTTTAAAAATTAGCATAACTTTTATTAAGTACAATACAATGTTATCAATATCTTGTTAAAACCATGAATGGCCTAACGGTACTTTCATGAAGGACAATTCTATGCATATACATCAGACAACATATTATTCGGACAACTGTAACGTTTTTTTTTTCTTTTTGTGCCCCCACTTTAGGAGGGGGGGGGGGGGCATTTAGATTTACCCTTGTCCGTCCGTCCGGGCGAACATCCAATGGTCTATGAGCTTCATTCCGTCCATAATTTTAGTTAAAAAAGAAGGAAATCCCATAAACCGACTGGTTTATGTGGTAATTTTATTGGTTTATGGGGGAAATGACACATAAAGATCAAAGAAAAAGCACGTAAACCCCAATTATTGGCATGTCCGTCCGTCCGACCTTCCTTCCGTCCGTTCGTCCGTTCTCTTCTGTGTCGCAAGTAACCCAAAAAGTATTTTACCTAGAGTCATGAAACTTTACAGAAATGTTGTTCATCATGTGCAGTTGTGCACCTGGGTATTTTCGTGTGGATTTATTAAGTATTTTTAGAATTATTGCCCTTGACTTAGTAAAAATTTGCAATTTTCAACTTGTGTCGCACATAACTCAAAAAGAATTTGACCTAGAGTCATGAAACTTTACAGGAATGTTGATCAGTATGTAGTTGTGCACCTGGGTATTTTCATGTGGATTTATTTAGTGTTTTTTAGAGTTATTGCCCTTGACTTAGTAAAAATTTGCAATTTTCAACTTGTGTCGCACGTAACTCAAAACGTATTTGACCTAGAGTCATGAAACCTTACGGGAATGTTGCTCAGCATGTGAAGTTGTGCACCTGGGGTTTCGCTTGTGGATTTATTCTGTTTATATAGAGTTATTGCTCTTGACTTAGTAAAAAATTGCAATTTTCAACTTGTGTCATGTAGCTCAAAAAGTATTTAACCTAGGGTCATGAAACTTTACAGGAATGTTGATCAGTATGTGTAGTTGTGTACCTTGGGTTTTGCTTGTGTATTTATCCAGTATTTGTAGAGTTATAGCCCTTGACTTAGTAAAAACAGTTTCATTATGTTGTGTTATTTGTTCTTTGAGTGCTTGAGTTAGAATCAACCAACTTTATAGGAATAATGATCAACATCACTGTGAAGCTATGCACCTGGGATTTTGCTTGTGGATTTTTTTCATTTTTCTTAGAGTTATTGCTCTTGACTTACAGTTGTATAGATTTGCAATTTTCAACTTGTTCATGTATAACTCAAAAAGTTTTTGACTTGTAGGCCTGAATTTACAAGAATGTTGGTCAGCAAGTGTACTTATGCACCTTGGGGTTTGCTTGTGGATTTATTCAGTATTTGTTCTTGCCCTTTACTTAGTAAAAGATTTTTAGTTTTTAACTTGTGGCATATGTAGTCCAAAACTATTTTACCTAGAGTCATAAGATTGACAGAACAGTGGAGTGTGAGGGCACCCGCGTCCTATGGACACATTTCTTGTTCCTTCTTTTTTTCTCCTTTAGTCCAAAAATGACTGGTCTTATGAAAATGACGGAATAGCTTTTGTCCAGGGGTGGGTCTTTTGTCCGCATCCAGTCTTTTATATCCACTAAATTTAACAAAATATTTATTTGTATTTTTAAAAACGCTTTGTTATATTATAGGCCACAGCTGTGCAAATAGTAAACTTCTACCAGAGCTTCCCAAAAGATCGAGGACATACACGGCAGACGGTGTAAGGGGGAGTGACCCCTATGTTGATGACACATTTTTGTCTCCAGAATGGTACAATGTGTCATTTAATGGTCAGCAATATCTTATGCCCGATGCAAACTATATGCCTTCATTTAAAAAGTGTGGAACTGTACAGCCAATTTATCTTAGAGGTAATATTTAACAAAACTATTTTCCTCATAAAACATGAATTAATCAAAAAGCAGATCATTGTTTTCGTACACTGTTTATTACATCGCTCGGCCGATTTTATCCGATATCCTTAGGATGTTCAATATTACGGTTTCCATTACATATGATAAAATTTATAATAACTTTTGTGTGCTCTTTTACTTATTTTACTTAGTTGATGCATAACCTTATCATTTCATCGTTTTAGATATACCCAATTTTGTTACAGTGAATGCAGAGGAGTGAAGGATAGTGTGCTTTATTTTATGCTAACAATATAATAATGGGGTTGATCAGTGGAATAGAATCCGTATCTCATTCACTGTATATTACTTTAAGTTGTGCAGAAACCTTTGTAACGTTTTGTTTTGTTTATTAACATTCTCGGTATAAATATTTCCCGCGTTTTAATAAACAGGCGAAAAATATAGTGTGTTTGTTTGTTTGAGTTTTTTTTTAAATATTGTTTGTAAATTGGTGTGAAATATAAGAAAAGTAAATAAGAAAAAAGGTAAATACGGATTATATGATGTACCATATTCCACCAATATTGACAATATTCAAATAACAATATCCTCGTTCCTTTTTTTCATTAGAAAAGAAATCTTAAGCAATCCTCAAAGCTATACTTCGTCATATACAAACATGCTTATAGATACTTTTTTAATCACAACGTTTCTTTAGAATGCATGCATACCATGCCTGTGCCATACATCAAGAAAACAAATGTGTGCTAAAAACAAAGAATAAAGTAAAACGTTTATGTCAATTTCTTCACTAAAGATACACATCCAGACATAGATACATTAACCGAAGTACCACAAACAATAATCGCATGTGAGTTGTACCCTCATGATGACTGTGAAAACACAATTGAAATCTTTATAAGGAAATGTGACAATACAGTTCACTACTACTTGAGAAGAACAAGCTCTAATGCGGCATACTGTTTTGGTAAGATTGGTTCTGTATATGAGCCGCGCCATGACAAAACCAACATGCGTTTGCCACCAGCATGGATCCAGACCAGCCTGCGCATCCGCGCAGCATAGTATCCATGATGTTCGCTGTCAGTTTCTCTACTTGTAAAAAGGTTTTTAAGCGAACAGCATGGATCCTGATCAGACTGCACGTTTGCGCAGGCTGGTTTGGATCCATGCTGGTCGCAAACGCATGTTGGTTTTGTCATGGCGCGGCTCATATTTTATTCACATAATGTATACATTTGTAATGAGTCGCCTTTCTTAAATGAAGTATCTCCATACTTAAATGTTCAAGTAAAATGATTAGATTTGCTGTAACTTTTTAATGTTTGAAAAATATTAAAGTATACTAAAAAGGCTTCAACAGAGCAATTATTACTTTCTCTGGTTGGGAGTCATTCCTAATACATGTATATCACATGCTTAAGATAAGATAAAACTCTGTCACAATTCTATCACCTTCATGAAAACTGATCAAAATCTTTTAACATATAGGTGCTTTATTAATATATTTCTTCATAGTGTATAGAGAATTTGATAAGTCATGTAAATAAACTGTTTTTTATCGTGTTTTTTTTCCATATTTTATCAAATGTTTTTTTATGGAATATTGGCCCTTAAAATGAGTGCCATTTTTGGCAAGGGATGAAAAAATTGTAAAACAAGATACTATATATTATTAGGGATCTGTTTTACAGTATGCTGAAACATTGAGCTTATATGCATTTTTCAGATCCTCCGAATTTGCAAAATGTGAATGTGACAGGTATGATACTTTTTACAAATATTCTTGAAGAACATCAATCTACTTCTTAAAACTGATTGAATAGATAAAAAAAGGATAAACATTTGACGTACTATATATATTTGCAAATAATAAATTTTGAAATGTTTTGCCCTGGTGGTTGATTTTAATACGTACAATCTCGACAATTAATGCACGCAAAAATATTGTTTATCAGTCTGAATTGAAAATGAATCAAAATTTTAAATATACGATATTTGAATTTTTTTAAAGATATACTGCAATAGACTTTGCACTTTTTCGATATAACACAACCGCTAGCTTGAATCAACAAATGAAGAACATTACAAATGAAAATTATGGGTTTTGTATCATTTACTTTATGATAGATGCTTGTATTACCCGAAAATAGTGCGAAATGTCACATTATTTGTCATTGCAAAAATGTAAAACAAATTGGCATTTCATCTTCCATACAATATAATATATCACTGTAACGGTACTAATTGACAAAAAAGCAACAGAAGAAAAAGATGGTTTAGGTAAAACGCCAATGAGTTACATTTTGGAAACTATAAAAGTACATAGAAATAGAAAGCTGTTAAGAAGTAAAAATGTAAGCCTTTCAGGGGCTTAAAAATTTGCCTTACAGTTAGTTTTAAGCATGATTTTTTTTTCCAGATTCTTCTGCAGCACCAACTGAATCTCTTGGAACATTAACAGTAACACCGGAACTTCGATTCAATGAAGTGACTAACAGAGGTGTTGTTTCGTTGATCCCAAGTCTTGCGTTCTTATGTGCAGAAAGTGGAGGTGCCAACATTGAGAACAGAGACTTGTTGTATTACACATACTGGTATTTTGTTTCATACCTAAAAACCTCTACAATTAAAGATTGAGCCATTCAATTAATACACCCTTTTTAATATCTATAATAAGAAAGTACGAGCATGTTATTACGCTCTGAAACACATTTTTTATTCTTCTAGCATTGTTAAAGTTGACTTATTGTTATTGATTTGATATTCGCCACATTTCCTTTTTTCCAATATTCAATTGTTGCCTAGTTCAATTTAAATTTTTTTCAGGTTCATTGATGGCGTGATTTCTTATACACAACAAAGCTATAATGGGATTGGAATACTGACTGAAGACAATCTACGGTCAATTGGATTTAGTCTCGGCATAATGGTAATCCAGTAAAATATATGCGTTTATTAAAATGCAATCTATTAAATTGTTTCAGTTTATTTCAGATAAAACAATTAAGATCTAAAACATTCAGCAATATAATTATGACAGTTTTAATTAGTAAGATATAACATAAATCTGATTCTATTAAAAACAATTTTATTCTGTAACAGATTAGATGTGGTGTAAAACTGGCAAAAAACGAAACTGGCGTACAAACCAAGCTATACAGCAGTGAAAATTTCTTTGCTGGAATTAAGGTAAAATATTGTTATGAATATATTATTTTTGATGATAAAATACGATATAAAATGATATATGATATATATAATGTATATCATAATTCAACACATATGTAGCAACACACGTGCTAACAATGTCATGTATGTATTATATGTACCGCTGTCATGTTCAAATTAGTATATATGACATAAGGGTATTAATCGTACAAAAAGTTTTATAAGAACGAAAGGTTGGTCTTAATTAATTCACGAGTAAATGACATAAATGAATCTGCATTGTAGGTTAACGAAGCATCGATAACCATGTCTAAAAACGAAATAAAGACAATTATGCTTCAACCGACTGTTCCATATGGATGCTACAAAATCAAAGACCAGCCCTCGCCAACTGCCGAATGTGCTACGAAAGTACATATGTTTTTACCCGAACGAGATAGGTGTTCGCTCTCTGATACCAATTTAGGAACACAAAACATCATAGCTAACCAAGAACGTTGTGGATTTAAAATATTGGTAACGTCTCTGTTTTATTTTGTAAATATCAATTTAATTATTTCATTATTACAAGTGTTAACATTATGATTTGTATTTTCTTAAACACTGACACTAATAGAAGAATAAAAATGGATTAAATTGAATGCTTTTGTAGTTAATTCCAACTTGTACAGACCGAAGCCGGGGTCAAATCTATCATACGTATGCAATATCTTATAGCTTTCAGCTATCGGAGTAAATCAAACGACCTTCTGAATGTAACACAATTGGCTTAAATCTTATTAAAACGCTACATAATATTCCTAGACCGTTTATAATTAACTTAACCGTTATTTTACATATCAGCAACTAAATATTTTAGTAAATATAAGTCAGGACCTGTTCATTACATCCCTTTTCTCAAGAATGCTATCCTAGTTTATATGTGGCCTTCCAGAATACATTTTACAATTTATTAATAAAAGTAGTTAAACAATTTTCATTAAAATGGTTAATATGATATAAAAAAATGCAATATATTGATGAAAGGATACTTTGTTGATATTTTTCTCAGGGATGCTATCCTGGCGATCCTGAATGTAGTGTAACTAAGCAGACTTCAGCTATGAATATTACAACAAGATTTCTTAGCTACGATGACCCAAAATCGTACGTACTTCGTCTTGTAGCACAAAACGCAATGACTCACCAAATCTGGAAAGGTTATGTCATCGATGATATTGTGGTAAATAGACAGATATCATTTTTTTCTCAATCCTTTTTACATACAAAAAGTGTCATAGAGATTTAAAACAAACATTCTGATTAATGGAATAGTAAATTTATTTTTACTTCATGTGCAGACTCAAACAAACCGAATCTGCAATTCTCTTGTAATTTTGTTGTGATTAATGCTTCCGAGGGATCACTTTGTTTCCAGATTTTTACATAAAATTCATTTTAAACGAAATAAAGAGTATTAAAATGGGTTTCCCATTAAGTGGTCGTGTATTCATCCGAAACGTAAAATGTAGAAAACAAGTCTTCCATAGTTTCTAACTTCTACACCAATGTTATTATATTATATTGATTGATTGTAATAACAACAGACAAGAATAAATGGAAACGAGAAAAGAAAAGAATTCAGAAAATCAAACGAGGGAAAGAAACGGTATTAAATCTTTCTTCTAGAAAATTAACACAAACTGATTACATTCTGTTAGGTAAAGGATTGAAATTTTGCCCAAAACCCAAATCACATGATAAAATTAAACTTGCTGAAGAAACTTATAATTTTGCAAGACGGCTTAGACTAAAAGAATACTTTTATGAAAATAATGATAAAAGTGAACATAAGGAATTCAAACAAATGCCATTCTTTAATAAACGTAAGTCTACATTTATTCCCCCTAACGGCCGTGATACTTATTTAGACTTTTATATAGAAGCTATTACACAAGAAATTCTTAAAGGTAATGACAAGAAAACTATACCGCACAAATATTTCTAAAGAAGAATTGAAACTCACTACGTTCACTTTGCAAAGATGAATCTATCATTATTAAAAAAGCAGATAAATCAAATATGATAGTTATAATGAACAAAATTGACTATATTCATGAAGTGGAACGCCAATTGAATAATAATAAATATTACACAAAATTAGACAATAACCCGTCTCAGGAAATAAAACTTAATATTCAAAACTGTATAAACGAGATATCGGAAATAAACAGTAACATAACTAGCGAATTTGACATTTTTCCAGAAATCATAAGAACGCCCCAATTTTATATCTTGCCCAAAATTCATAAAGATTATAATGAAAGTCTACCCATAGGATATCCAGGCAGACCAATTGTTTCTGCATGCAATAGTTTTACAGAAAATATTTCAAAATACCTTGACTTTATATTACAACCATATATGAAATTATTACCGTCGTATGTGAAAGATACCTCTGATTTTTTGCGTAAATTAAAATCTTTACCTAAACTTTCAAAAGATTCAGTACTTGTTACTTTGGATGTAACTTCACTGTATACAAATATCCCACATGAAGATGGGATAGCTGCTTGTAAATACTTTCTTGATAATGAAAAATGTGGTAGTAAATTATCAACGGAGGAAATATGCACTCTTCTTAAATTGACACTTAAAAGTAATCATTTTCAATTTAATAATGAAAATTATTTACAAATTTTAGGTACCGCTATGGGTAGTTCTATGGCCCCTACATACGCATCGCTATTCATGGGTAAATTAGAATCTGATTTTTTAAACAGTTATGACCTTAAACCTACGACTTGGCTCCGCTTTCTAGATGATATATTTATGATATGGGATCATTCTATAAGTGCCTTACATGATTTCATAAACAAATTAAATACATGTCACCCAACAATTAAATTTACATATAATATGTCGAAAGAAAATGTGTCATTTCTTGATGTTAAGATTCTTAAAAATGAAAATTGCACTTTATCAACGGAAATTCATATAAAACCTACAGATGTCCATCAATATCTGGAGTATAACTCATGCCACCCTAATAAATGTAAGGAGGGTATACCATACAGCCAAGCCAAACGTTACAGACGTATCATTTCAGACAATGATAAATTTTTTTATGAATGTCTAATAAATTTAGAATCTTTTTTCAAGATCAGAAATTATCCTGATAGCAAGCTGAAATCTGCTTTTGCAAAAGTAAAATATTCAACCCAAGAAGAAGCTCTGGAAAATAACCAAAATATAACAGAGCAGCAAAAAATCATACCATTTGTTATCCCATATAATCCGTCTCTTCCCCATCTTGGTCTTATCATAAATAAATACTGGGATCTTTTAATGTTGTCAGAAAATGACAGTGTTAAAAATTTACATAATCATAAACCAATCTTAGCATACAGTCGTCCCAAAAATCTTCAAGATTCCCTTACCCATTCAACTCTAAATAAACGGAATATGAACGGTAAAACTAATAAGTGTAATAGAAAAAGATGTACTCACTGTAAAAATATTGAAGAAAATAGTAAATTCACAAGTACAAATACTGGAGAAACATTCGAAATGCATTTTGATGGAAATTGTACTTCTAGTGACGTGATTTATTTAATTACTTGTAAAAAATGTAAAATACAGTATGTCGGCCAAACCCATCAACAGGTATCAAAAAGAATGAACAGCCATAAATTTGATATAAGAAGTAATAATCATCCCAATTTTTCTTCTAATGTTGCAATTCATTTCAATTCCGAAGATCACTCACTTGATGACTTTTCCTTTATGCCGATTGATAAACTTCATGATAATATGGGGAGACTTTTGAAAGAGACATACTGGATACATAAGTTAGAAACATTTTACCCGAAGGGTTTGAATGCAAAAGTGCTTTACAAATTTTAAAATCATTTTTCAAGTAGATCTAAATATACTTGCAACTTTTTACAAACTCGTCAATATTTTTTTTAGTATATATCGGCATGAAAAGACTGTTCTATTTTAGTAGTCATTCACTGTATCTAAAAATGTTATTAATTTATTTAAATCTATACAAATACATTATTTATGTCGATGATATAAATATTTAATTACCTCCCTTTATTCAGGCATAATTTTGATTGTTACATTTATATACTACATTATTCGTAATGTATTCATAATGTATTCATATGATTTTTCATTATTTCGTATAACATAAATTGATTTTGAGCATAATACCATATTTTGAATAGATAATAGATAGATCATTTTCATTTTATTTGATGGCTTTATAAAATATACTGATTGATAAATATGTTTCTAAATTATTATCTCCCTTTTTCACAATTTTCAACATGTGATTTAAGCACATTTTTTTTCGAATTCTAAACTTTCACATAAGTAACTGTTGTTTTCATACTTGTTGTAATTATTTACTAGCCTAGTTTACCTATGAAAATATATGTATCTTTTGATCCAGTTATTTTATGTAATTCCTTTCGAAAATTATATATGCTGTTTTTTTAAAAAAGTATATTTATACATACATATGCACATGTTTTATTGTAATACTTATTGTAATATTATCACGTTCCTTTTACGCGCCAAATGTAACGTCTATTAACGTAGACGTTTGTTTTGTACGTTTACGTCATTTTTATATATGTATCAACTGAGGAAGCTTAATAAAGCGAAACATGTTTTGATACTTAATTTGTGTTGGTTTTTGATCCAATTATCCTATTGTAATGCAATGCAATACATAACATTTTACCGTGTATCTTTGTTTCTTTTCGTTTCAGGTAAACATTAAAGATGATACCGATTTCCACAACAAAGTTTGTTTTTCACATGTAAATCCTCATATGTGTACGGCAGATGGAAAGTAAATATATACAACCACCTAAGTTTTGTTCATATTTTTTATTAAATGTCTTCCCGATGTCATTTCTAGATAGAATATCAGTTTAATTACTATGCAACTTACGTCCGGGTAAAAATTTCAGTTAACATCCTTATAAAAAGTTTATATCGTTGCGACTTCTAGGAGTTTAGTTTAACATGTTACACAAGATATATGTTAAATGGATACAAAAATAATGACATGTGATATTGAAAGGAATATATAAATCAGTAGGGATAATGGGAAAGTTAGGTTATGAAGATTGGAGTTTTCGAAACAAGCCACAATATCAATATATTCTTGTGCTCAATCTTACTAAGAAATATGAAAAGAAAGGACATAGGAAAACTTAAAAAAAAACGTATTCCGATTTCTTTTAAATTCCCGAACATAAGGAAATAAAAAGAATATATTACCTGTAAATTAAAATAAAACTTGTTGTAGCAGCTGAATTGATTTTCGTTACAGACCATATGAAAACAACGACTTTGCTGGAGAGTTTATTTTGTACAGAAATACAGTATATAATATAGAGGTATGAACTTTATGTCCTTCACTGTACTCAGTAAATATAGTTTGATTGAATCGTACATAAAACTGACTAATGAAGATTCATCTATTGGTCATTAATGTTTAAAAAAACTCCAAATTATTTACTCTATGACATTCATGGAATTGGTCGAAGTATTGAAGTATCAGACATTGCCAGGAAATAGGTCAGAAACGTTAAAAGGAATGAGGAATTCTATGATTTTGTGCATCTATTTAGTCAAATCAATACATACATGTAGATACCCCATATCATATAACACACAGTGCACATCAAGTGTAAAAATGTGGTATTTTTCATACTTGTAGATCCAGGAGAGAACAACTTCGTGTTTTTCTGTGAATAGCAGACCTTTCTGTACTTGTGCAGTGGCAGTACGTGCTGGTGGGGATGTTTTCTTGATAAATTTGTGTAACGATCTAAAATTTATTGGCATGACGGCATGTAAAGATAATGGTGCTTTAGTCATCCGATTGCTGGACGAGTTCAATTATCAGGTTCTTAAACAGAAAACAGTTGTTTGAATTCTAACATTCGTTGCAAGAAAAATGTTGATACATAAATATAAAATATTTATTATATTACCTTATATATTATCGTCATAAGTTTTCATAATGCATGTACCTTTGCCGATACAAACCATGTATCGATATTAATTGAAACGCAACTTGTATTGCTTAGTTCCAGAAAGAAATAAAATACCCGTTCAATTTCAGGTGGAAACAAACATAGGGACCCTTGTAAACATACGCATAAGACCTTATCCTAGATTTATTGAGTTAATGAACATAGATATAGTTATGGCGCCTAAGGACTATGCATCAACCGAAGGACTATGTGGAACATTTGACTCGAACAAACAAAATGACTTTCATGATAGGGATGGTACAGTTCTATCCGATCGTTTGCAGTTCATAAATTCCTGGAAGTATGAAATTATTCACTAAAGATCTTAATTTACTTTAAAAAGTAACGTTTTACTTTTGATACTAATGACTTGAAATTATTTTGTTCTCCTATCATTGAATTAGTAGATTTTATTCAATATATCTTTTTGTCTCTGTATTGTAGAATAGGTCCTGGAGACGCTAATTACCTTAGTCCGACTTGCAATTCTAACGTGAGAACTTGGGAGGAAGATGGGGAACAACTTTTCTGTACATGTGATTGTTTTAGCGAAGACTTGTCGTCCTCCTGCAGCACACTTAATCCTGAAGCTGTTTGTTCTCCTTCACAATATATAAACTGTACTGTAGATCTACAGAAAACAGACGATCTGTGTAGTAATTTTAGAGACAAATGTTTAAGCGACAAACGGAAGAAAAGATCTTTTACTATCGATCCGAATTTAGAAATGAAAAGACGAGCAACGTTAGCCAATACAAGACAACATACAAGACAAAAGGTACTTTTTTAATTCAATGTTTGAAACATTTAATAGATTTACATCAAAGACCACTAAAATCTGTACGTTATTGTTGTCTTTATTTGGAAAGTTATGAGCATATTATGAGCATCTTTCTTTTGATCTGCTACCAGTATGTGCAATGTTTTTAAGGAAATGTGCACTATAATTGTCTCATAATAACTTATATCTTATATTATCGATTGATAATTTCTATATTATGTTATTTCATTTTTCTTGTGTTTTCAGAGACAGGCTAATGAACAAGGCAATATATCAAAAGAGCAAGCGATAGAACTTTGTACCAATTCTATCAGTCAGTCTACTGCGTCTAAGAACTTTTCAAATTTACTGACAGGATACAATGTATCTCTTATAACAGAGCATTGTATATTTGACGTATATGTTAGTATCGAATAGTTCATTACTACAGTTGATTATATCCAAATATTTTACTTGCCTTTCATGAGCAATTGATAAGAAATTATCAAGAAATTAACACATTCAATCAACTTCTCGTTAATTTGCTCCCTATAAAAGAAAAGAATTACCAAATTGTTTATGATATTTTGATAAATGATTAAATTGAATTAAAAATATTTTAAACTATTTTTTTTATCTCAAACACGACCAAAGTACTTACAGTTTTTGTATGGTACGGTACACATTTTTCAAAACGAAAATTTATTATAATTTACATTATATCATATTGCCAGTTGTTTTATAAAAAGGTTTATAAAGAAATATTTGTGTTGTAATTTAGGAAAGTCAAGACATTGGGTGGTCCGAAGCACATGTTGAGGTAATGAACGACGCCGTAGCTTTAGGATTCAAAAGAAATTCCAATTTTACTGTAACTCATAAGGATAAGTTAATGTCCTTCAATAAACAGTCGTGTTCATTCGGACGTAATGGCAAAGAAAATTGTACTGAAGAAGCTTTGTTATGTTTTTCTCACTAATGTACCTCGCGAAAAGAACTTTTTTACCAACATAATTAGATTTCCCAAACTATGATCTCATAGAACATAAGCATTAGTCCGTGATTTTGTCCAGAATCAATTATGATTCTTTCTATTGTATTGTAGGTCGATGTGTTTGTGAGAAAGGATATTATGGTGTAGATTGCAGGCATGATATTAAGGTTCCGCCTACAATAGAAGATGTAGAAGGTGGAGGACTTTGTGATAAACGATATGGGAGTGAATGTAGTTGTTTTGAGGTGCAAGTTGACATGCTTGCAGATCCGTTTCATTGTCAAAGAATCGTCAAAGTAGTAAGTATTAGCTAATGACGAAGATAAGGAGACGCAAATTGAAAGGAAAAATTAGGCTACCATTATTGCTGCTTATATCATAAATTTGTTTAGCTTTGTCAGAACTGTAATCAGGTTATTTATGACATGTTATTTTATCAGATAATTGTTAATGTTTACAAAGAATTCAGATGTAAATTGGAGTGTTTTGTTAACGATGATTTGTTATGTGTTTCCTACAGATTTCATCAAATGGCACTTCAACAACATTAGATGAATCCATTGTGAATGGAGATTTTGTTAACTTCTTTACTGGCGAATGTTGTTTTGAATATCATCGGAAAAAACGTTCAATTTCAACACTGATTGAGGTCATGTTCTATGAGTTTGAAGTTTCAGTTAGTAACGATGGTAACAATTTTGGTGAGGCAGTTACCTTACATGTTTACGACTCTTCGTGCCAAGAATACTTTACAGACATAAAAGGACGAGCTAGTGTCCACTTAAAGGTTTGGATTCGTATATTATCAATTACTTAACTGATAAAGAACATTTTGATTATTTACACATATTCCAATAACCTCACACATATGTATGCTCGTAATATAATTTTTTGAAAGAACAAACATGATGCAAAATATTTGAACACACGTAAATGCTCTTATACAACGTAAAACGTTTTATAATGACACATTTTGTCAATAGGACAGAAATGAAATTCTATTTGTAATGTTTTAATTGTAATCTGTTTGATAATTTATACAATGCTATAGTTTTTCATTATTTTTTTTATAATGAATTATTTAATTTCATCAATATCAAATTCTCCAATTTACATGTAAAGCATTTTTGAATATGGTCTTAATTCAAATCTTTTTCTACGAATCATGCATTGCCGGCTGACCAAATGCTACTTTTAAAATTTCTGACAGCAAATACATTTTCAGGACTTAAATATTCACTTCAAGAAGACTGCTAAAGAGATACTAATACTCAAATTTGATATAAGAAAAAAATGTAAATTGCTTCACAGTCTCTTTGTAAATATAAAATATACGTGTTTTGATTTACACAAAGTAAATATGTTATGTTTTCAATTCTACATACTATTGGTGGTCACAATATTAATATATACTGTCATAAAAAACTTGCAGTGTTTTTAAAGAAAATACAAATTTTAATTGATTTTTAATAGGGAACATACATATTCCATACATATTTTATTCATTCTTATATTCAAATTAGGCATATTCAGTAAGAATTATGAAGATTTCAATAAATTTATGTTATAAAATTATTTTACTCAAGGATGAGCATAGTATATCTTTAACAACGTTGGTATAAATAAAATAATAATATTTTAAGGATGGGATGTGTCTGATCGACAACGAATGTGTAAAAGAGAATGATGTCCGAATTAACGATTACTGCTACAAATGTTTACCCTCATCAAACAGATTTAATTGGACCCATGGTAATTCTAATACTTTATAAATTGTATAATAATATATCATTGAAAACAAAATTAAAAGGAAAGCTTATCAAAATGAGGAATCTGAAAACAATTGCATGCTTGTAATGTTCAATAAATACAAAAAAATCCTTATTATTTCTATTAATTCAAAACAGAGGTTTTGCAGTTATCTGATAAAATATAGTAGAACGTTTCAGTTTGTCAATAAAAACAAATAAAACCAATAAAACCAATAAAGTTTTACTTCTGCAAAATAATTGAAAGTTAATATAAAAGGAGTCTTTCCCACAGCACAACTGTATTACCGTAGTGAAAGACGAATCAATGCAGTAAATTAGCATAACAATATGTTACTACTTGCATTGCAATCTTTTTCGACAGTCTCTATAAATTGAATTGATTACGTTATATATATTTTTAAATTTCTTTATGTTTACATATATCGATTAATTTTACTGTGACATGATTTCTTGACGCATGTATTGTAATGAATTTCCATGTGTATGTATTTTATGATGATGGATGTGGAGCCGAATTCAGACATACGATAAATGTTCTGTCTATAGCACCAAAATAAAAAAGGTCAATTTGAAATATGTTTTCAGACTGTGACGATAAAGATAAAAATGACGATAACAACACATTGATATATATAATCGTGTCAGCTGTGTGTGGTGCTGTTATCATTATATTGATAGTCATTTGTATAGTTAAGATGTGTATTACGAAGAAAATCACAAGGTTAGTCAATCATATTATTTTACATGGAAACAAATGTCTAGGGTCAAGTACTAGTACAACTGACATAATATTTTCATTAACTATTATTCTAATACATCTGCAGCCTTAATTTTGACATAAGTACATGCATATTTATTCATTATTTACTTATTAATTAATGTTGCAAAGATGGTGAAATTTTAGGAATGGTAACAAATTTACTCGCAGGATATGGGCTAAAATATTTTTACTTAACGTGGACTTTATTTCGATTTGCTGTGTGCTGTTTTATATGATAAATAAAACAACTACTAAACACCGTAACTTTATGTGTGATATTTCCTCTCTTTAAGAGTACATTTAAACCAATTACTAGTTCAACAAATACACAAAACTAGCTGAACTGACCGTAACTAAGACATATTAAGGAATACTTTATGCTGGTCAGGCATGGTTATCAATTATAATCTTATCGTGCTAAAAACTCCTTTTTCAGAATTGATAGTAATGTCTCTGGTGATCGAAGGTATGAGGCTGATCGATGTGAAAGTAAGTGTCTTGAGTGTCTTAAATTATTTTAATAAGAATCAGCATGATTGAAGTTGTTTCATCAAAAATGAAAAGTGTGGGTTGTTCAAAACGTTTATCCATATATTTCATGTATAAAAAGAATCAGGTAGTTCTTGAATGTCTATGTAAGGGTATAAATTAAGCATGAAAACTTTCTTATTCTTTCAGGTGGTTACAACAATACATATTATAACGAGCATGACGCAGGTCGATATGAAAGAAAGTGTCTTGTTTTTAATACATTATTTTAATAAGGGTCAGCATGGTTGAGGTTGTTTCAACAATAATGAAAAGTCTTGGTTATTTAAAATATGTATCCATATATTTTGTATATAAAAAGAATCCAGTCGATAAAGAATGTGTACTGTAACAGTATAATTAAGCATGACACATTTCTTATCCTTTCAGATGATAACAGCAAGCCATATTATAACGAGCATGATGCTGAGACACAGTACCAAACACTAAGCTCTTCAACTATTTGTATGCAAGATTGTGAATACAATGAACTTCAGAATATACAAACAAATAATTCCTAGAGAATATCACTTATGTGTAATGATAACAAAATAAAGTTTAACTTTAGAAATACTGTTATTTTGACAAAAAGTTAATTGAGAAAGTTAACTGAAATAAGGCTCAATGTCACGTGAAGGTCCACTTTTCCAAACAAATATACATGCACGTTATTTAATAATATGTCTCAGATAAAACTTTTTTCCAAAGAAATCAAATTGTTGTCATAATGAATTAAAACGTTACTTTTGTTTTTTAACATACAATGTCAAAACATCAAGTAAATTGCAATACTGTTACGAAGCAAACGTATATGATGAAATATACCTGTAACCAGCGCAATGTGCTGAATTATATGAGCGTAAATACTTCAGACCTTCACCTCGCGAAAACAGAACACTGTCAACTTCAATTACAACCGGTCGGTGGTATTTAGCACGTGTATAGAGGCTGGGAATTCCAATAGAAGCACAATTGGGTCAAACTTTTATTTTGGAATAGCTGACGCTGAAAAATATCTTAACAGGAAATCACTTTTGCGTGATATAACAAATATTTTTGCCAATAATGTTACAGCATTATTACATTGATTATGATTTGTTTCAATATAGTATTGAATTATTTGTACGTATGTTATTTTACCGCTAAGAACGCTAAGTAGCTGTATACATGTATATTTGTTGGTGGAAAATTGGATTGTATTGAAATGTTAACAACAACTTAATGTAATTGATCAATTTTGCCTGAACACAGGCATGGAAATTAATCTTGACAAAACAGAGATAATTGTATTTCGAAATGGAGGTCGTCTTCGTAATTATGAATCTTGGTCTTTTCGCGGTCAGTCTGTAAATACAACTGCTGTTTATAAATATATGGGTTTGTTATTCACTCCACAACTATCATGGAATGTAGCTCATGATAAATTAGCTTCACAAGCTCAAAGAGCAATTTTTGCTATCAAAGGTTATGAAAAATCATTTGGTAATTTTCCCATAAAGGAACACTTTAAAATTTTTGATACAATGATCAAACCTATTCTTTGTTATGGATCACAGATTTGGGGGTATGAATTTAGTCCAACTATAGAATCTGTTCATAATATGTTCTGTAAGGGTTTATTAAATGTTCGAAAAAATACAAATACAAGCATGGTGTTAGGTGAATGTGGTAGACTCCCACTTTGTATTACTTATTATACAAATTGCATTCGTTATTGGTGTAAGCTATTAGTTATGCCACAATGTCGTTACCCAAACCAATGTTATTTAATGTTAAAATCACTAGATGAAGCTGGAAGAACTTGTTGGGCTAGCAAAATACGAATACTTTTGTACAGTTACGGATTTGGTTACATTTGGATTTCTCAAGAAATAGGAGATGTGAATATTTTTGTTAGCATTTTTAAACTACGCATAATAGATTGTTATACTCAAAATTGGCATGATAATATTAACAATTCCAGTAGATGTCACCGTTATTGTTATTTCAAAAGCCTGTTAAATGTAGAACGGTATCTTCTAATAGAAATCCCTGTAAAACATAAGAAAGCATATGCTAAATTCCGATGTTCAATTCACAAACTTAATGTTGAAATCGGTAGGCATTTAAATATACCTTTTCAAGAACGCTTTTGCAACTTTTGTCTTGAAAATCATTTAACTTATCATATTGACTGTGAATATCATGCTTTTTTTTTCATTGTAAAAAAATATTAGGAATTAGAAATACATATTTACTAAACTGGTATAATTCCGGAAATGAATTACATAACTTTTATGAATTACTCTCATCAAATGATATTTTAATAATTAAGAAAATCTCTACTTATATTTACCACCTCATGATATCTACAGCACAGTAGCATTTAAATGTAATGATTGTCAAAACTTGTAAAAGACACAACCTTATAATGTTAAATATCATATTTTGTATGACATGTATTTTGGGCCGGTGGTCTTTATTTACTGAATAAATCTTTTGACTTGACTTGACTTGACTTGTTATTGTATGTTGAAATACAGTTGATTATATATAGAAACATGAAGGCTAAATGACTGTGTTGTCTGAGAGGGGATTATACTTTTCGTGGAGTAAATAAATTTGAAATATTGAACATTTCAGCTTGTTTTCCCTATTGACATCCAAAACTACAACAAATAGGTAGCAAAAGATCTCCCCCTACACATTTAAGAGTTTGTTTTCTACTTCTTACAGAGTATAAACTCAGTTTACATGAAAACATATGCAAATACAATTTATTTGAAGAAATTCGCATTCAAAAAAGATCTGGTATTTAAATGAAAAAAATGATAACCATTTATTTATCTAAATCTATTCAAACAAATCTTAGATTTGATCTTTATAATGGAAGCACTTAGGTGAATAAAATTATTGGGGAATGTTGGGGAAATTATTTTTATGTGGTTAGGTACATGATGACACTTTTGTTAACAACTAGCATGTTGATTATTACATTATCAGATTTCAATAGCGGTTTTAGATCTAACGTCATATCTATTGAAAATATAAAAGGACAACAACCAATCTCACGATCAAGAGCATTACTTCTATTTACATAGTGAATTCAGACCGCTTCTTTCCTTTTTGGATGATGAAAAAAAAACCATTTTGAGAAACCTTTTCATATATTTGATATAGGCAATTAATAATTATTATAGTGGCTCCTGCTGTGACGCCAAATACTTGTTCAAACAAGGAAGAAAAAATATTATAATTGCTGTTTTGAATTAAACCATGGGGTCCACGTGTATTTTGTTTATATATTTAAACTCCACAAAAATGAATTAAATGCAATGTAACTGACACCTTTTCAAAGTGACGCGTTTTCTTTTTTTTGATAATTATTTATTTAATAAATTATAAAGAAACGCGAACATAGAAAACATTGGTGATTAAATGATATATGTGGTTGGGTTCACTCATTAGTTTGAAGAATGTAGTCCATTTTTCAGTGAAAGATAATATCATCGTACGACAGTATGCGTAACACGGTGATTTATTGACATTTATTTCAATTTTGTCATTTAATTATTTATGATTCAATCGTATAGAAATAAAATAAGGAAAAATATTATAAACATAAAATATATATTCAAAAGATGTGTCAACTTTACAACATATTTATTGCTTTAGTGCGTGTCTAACTATCACCAAAATTTGTTTTCATTTATTTTCAATATTTATTTGAAATTAATACAAAAATAATTGTTAATGATCATCTTCCTCGACCTTCAAAATGCAATGAATTATTTTATTTTGCCTGATTTATGCCACCTCTTGTCTTCGTGTCTTCTCAGGAGAAGGCTCAAAGACACAATAATATGCTCACAAATCGAATATTCGCCTTTTGAGGACGCCAACACGAATTTAGGCAAAATAACGATATGTTTTCATCTGCGAAGACCCGAGATCTTTTTCTGTAAAATTATTGTGTCGGCGGGTAGGTATGTTCGTATAGGCGCCCTATATTTGTCGTACCGTCGTGTCTTCGGCTCAAAATGCGAAAAAAGTAACAACAAATGTTTAAAAAATGAAATTTTAGAATAAAAACAAGATGAATTGTGCAGAATATAAAATAAATGTAGATTCAGATGACAAGATACATGTATCTTTAAAATTAATGATAAAGTACATACCCGATGAAAAGCTTTTAGATATAAATATGGTTCAAAATATAAATAAGCGTGTAAGTAATAATGGAAGGGATGGAAATAACTTGACAAATTTAAGTTATTTATACAAACATACTGTACAGAACATATCGTAATATTATAACATTGAAATCTCATAGAACAGTGTCTGCCAAGTTTAGAGTTGGAATGGTCAAAGCTTACATTCACGTTTTTGTCCGTTCTGCTTTACTTTCATTGAAGATGAGTTTCATTCTATGATGACATACAAGCGCGTTATTCAATCAAGCAGCGGGGTTAAATAGCGAGCTGGAAGAGCAGTCCCACAGAGGCTGATCGCAAAGCGACCATTACGGAATCGCCCAAAGAACCATTACGGTAACGCAACGAGAGTGATGGTTTTGCAACCTTTTGCTGGAAAAACATCAAAATTATGGGTAAAAGGTAGGTTTGCTTGCTCTTCTTTTGGGGTTATTTTGGTTTCCTTACCAATTGTTTTATTCATGGTATGAATAAGTATCAGCATGTTACTTGCGCTATTATTTATCTAAGCACGCCGGCAATCAGTTAATATGACAGAGAAATAGACATTTATTTTCCTCTTTATGAAAGATGATTTAATCAGATGCTGTGCAAGAGCCTGCTTTCTAATATTACAACGTGGACAATTATTCTTAAGAAGATAATATGTAAAATAGTTTTATTTCACTTCAGTTTTTAGCTCACCTGTCACAAAGTGACAGGGTGAGCTTTTGTGATCGCTTTTCGTCCGGCGTCCGTCCGGCGTCCGTCCATCCGTCGTCCGTCCGTCGTCCGTAAACTTTTACTTTACATGACATCTCCTCATAAACCACTAAGCAAATTTTATCCAAACTTCACAGTAATGTTCCTTTGGTGGTCACCTTTGAAAATTGATCAAAGAATTTAATTCCATGCAGAACTCTGGTTGCCATGGCAACCAAACAAAAAACTTTAAATATCTTCTTCTAGAAAGCCCAAAGAGCTAGAGCTAAGATATTTGGCATGAAACATCTTCTAGTGAGTGTCTACCAAGTTTGTTCAAATAAAAGCCCTGGGGTCAAAATTGGCCCCGCCCCAGTGGGTCATTGATTTTCCTTATATGCATATAGTAAAAACTTAAAAAATCTTCTTTTAAAGAACCCAAAGAGCTAGAGCTAAGATATCTAGCATGAAACATGTTCTAATGGGTTTCTACCAAGTTTGTTCAAATAAAAGCCCTGGGGTCAAAATTGGCCCGCCCCAGGGGGTCATTAATTTTCCCTATATGCATATAGTAAAAACTTAAAAAATCTATTTTTAAAGAACTCAAAGAGCTAGAGCTAAGATATCTAGCATGAAACATGTTCTAATGGATTTCTACCAAATTTGTTCAAATGAGAGCCCTGGGGTCAAAATTGGCCCCGCCCCGGGGGTCATTGATTTTCCTTATATGTGTATAGCAAAAACTTAAAAAATTTTCTTTGAAAAAAAACCAAATAGCTAGAGGTTAGATACTAAGCATGAAACATCTTCTAGTGAGTGTCTACCAAGTTTGTTCAAATGAAAGCCCTGGGGTCAAAATTGGCCCCGCCCCGGGTGTCATTCATTTTCCTTATATGTTTATAACAAAAACTTAAAAAATCTTCTTTGAAAAAACTCAAATAGCTAGAGTTTAGATATTAAGCACGAAGCATCTTCTAGTGAGTGTCTACAAAGTTTGTTCAAATAAAAGCCCTGGGGTCAAAATTGGCCGGCACCGGGGGACATTGATTTTCCTTATATGTGTATAGCAAAATCTTAAAAATCTTCTTTGAAAAAACCCGAATAGCTAGAGTTTAGATATTAAGCATGAGACATTTCATAGTAAGTGTCTACAAAGATTGTTCAAATAAAAGCCCTGGGGTCAAAACTGGTCCTGCCCCAGGTGTGTCATTGTTTTTAACTATATGAGTGAAGAAAAAATTTGAAAAAATCTTCTTTTAAAAAACCCCAGGAGCTAGACCTTAGATGTTTAGCATGAAACATCTTCTAATTGGTGTCTACCAAGTTTGTTCAAATAAAAGCCCTGTGGATAAACTTGCCCCGTTCCGGGGGCCTATATACAGGTGAGCGACTTCAGGGCCATGATGGCCCTCTTGTTTATTATCTCTTTTAATAAAAGCAGTTTGTTTTTGTGCTGTTTTTCTTTAATCAGATAAACAATGTTATTCTAGTTCTTATCTGTTATGTATGTAAATAGTCATGTAAATAGTCATGTTATATATCATCATATTAGTTACATAATATGTCTGACATAGGAATCTCATTTTATTGGTCTTATATGTATTTGAAATGTTTATGAATTGTGCGTATTATATTTGTGAGAAAAAGACTTGAATAACTATTGAAAAATCAATCAATCTATGCTTGGGTTTCACAATTTCTTTTCAACGGCACATTCAAAAAAGGACTTCCTTGTCGTGAGAATGAAACTTTTTAAACATGGCGATAGATCTAAGAAACTTTATCGTTGGATTTTGTTTGATATCTTTCAAATTTGTTGTCATGTAAGTGTTGCCTTAAACATTATCATTGTTACTCTGACAAGATTAGTCATCTAATATTTTATTTTAGTTAAAGACTTTGCCGTTTTGTTGTCATTTTGTATCATGATAAACAGTGATCATACATTAGTAAAGCAATCTGGTTTGATATACAGACGATAGATTTAATGAATAATTTCTAGTGTACTTAATGGATATAAGAATATGAATTTAATGAAGCTAGAACAATATGGTATTATACATATTTAGACTTTTTAAATGCTGAAAATGCTGTGAGTTGTACAAAACAAGTGATAATCAACCAAGGCATAGCTTAATGGTGTTGATTAAGCTGGAGGAAATATTTATACTTCCAACTTTCCTTGCATTTGCGGGAATGTGTTTAGATATCTCATTCTGTTTGTATGCTTTGGAACATTCAGACATTACAACTGAAATACTTCTTGTATAATAGTAAATTGTTTACAATTTGCACACGAATAATTTTAGGGCATATCTCTTAGTTATTTGACATGATACGTTTTTGTTACTTCCTTCGTCCATAAAATGATTGTTGGCAGTGTCCATGACCTCAGATCAAAGTCCATTTTATATCGTATCAAATCTTTTAGTAATGATCCATATTTTATTAGAACATTCTGAAGAAACCATTGCCTGTGGACGTTTTCCTACTTTTATATATCTTATGTAACAGTGCATTTCGATTATTGATAATTTAGCTGATTAATAATTATTTACTTAGGATTAAAACAAATAAATTGGGTGTGAGAAAATAGCAAACCTTTTTTTCAAAGTGCTAAAATATGATGTTTTGTTATTTAACAGAACTTGTTACCATAGTAACAGAAACAATAAGTAATATTATAATTGTTAAATAGTATCTTCAATTATAAGACATACATATATCTCATGTTAAGTGAAACTTGGAATAATTTCCAGTGAATAAATACATTAAATTTTAATTTGAATACACCGTTTTTTTCACAACAATTGTATTCAGTTTTCTGAATCTTTGATTCTTCAAAATGTACTTTGTAGAAATATTTATATTTTTGTTTAATTTGTCAAAGTGACCAAAAGACGCACTTTTTTTATTTTAAATTTGTTTAAATTATTAATGCATGTGCCAATGTCACTGTGATAATGTATCATTATTTTTGTTTTACAGAGTAACTACTAGTATATCATGGTATTGTACTGAGCAATACGAGTGTTATGGGACCTGCTATAGAGCAGTTACAGGACAAACTTGTACTTTTTTGTCGTGGTCGAGGGTGTCTCATATATGTACAGGTTATAATCAAAAGTATGTTGTTTTTGTTTTTTTTAATCATTGACTTTGAAATAAAATGACAAGTTATTAATGTAAATAATACACAAGAACATACTTTTCTCAAATAATTACATGAAATACAATTCATTATTACTTTACAAGTTTGTTTTGTTTTCAATGTTACAAGAGCTTATTGTTAACGTCAATCATTGCTGACATTTAATTTCAAATATTGTTTTCATCAGCTGAAGTACACAGCTTATTATATAAGCAAATGTTTCACTTACTTTTATAAGTCGAAGTTCAAACAATAAAAACGAAGAATGTCCAATTTCTATTTTTCTTAAACACATGGGCTGGCATTTTTATATATGGTAAATGCAAAAAACCAAAGGCTTAGAACTAAAGATGAATTTCATTTTCTGATTACCGAACAATCGAGGAGCAGGTTTACAAGCTATTTGCCCCAAACATGTACATTCACATCCGGACGGTCTTTGCTTATATTTAAGTTTGGTAAATGTCAATCACACAGTACAAAACTTCAAACAATATAAACAACTAACTTACATTGAAATCAAGCTTTTTTCTACAGTATTCTTTAAGTATCTTAAGATGTGTCTATTTCATTTACTTTGTTCTTCCGGTGTGACATTTAACCTTGAGCATGTACATGCATTTTGTTCACGGCTTACTAGTAGTCTACTTTATCTTTCTGTCGACAAATTCACCCCTCGATCATTGGTCGTGATAAAATTTGTATTCATAATAAAAAAATATTTCTTATCGTATTGTTATTATTTTTTACAGATATATTCTCACATCATATCTTTGTAAAACCACTTGTCAAAGAGAGACTTGCTGCAGCGGATTTACCGGGGATAACTGTAGTACACGTGAGTTAAATGACCAATATATTTTTGTATATAATAATGTAATCATATGACCTTCAGTCGCAGAAACATCGTTATGGTTTTTCCATTGCTGTGTAAACTTGGTTATCAGGTAAGATGCAAAGTACATCCATCTCATTCATTGATTGCATAATGATAATAATTGTTTTTGCAATACAGCCTATTGTGTTTTCATCAGTATAACAACAACATCACTGGCATGTTTGTATCCTATGCATACATCAGTTTATATATTACTTCATAATCATTACATATATCATATCATATAAAATTGCATACATGATTTCATATATCAACTCAAACGTGATTTCATACATCATATGATCCATTATTTCATGCATCATTTCACGTTTTATTTATCATTATTTCATCCATTATTTGATACACAATTCCATACAGCATATTATAATTTATTACATATATCATTTCACGCATCACTTTATATTTCATTTCATACATCATTTCATACAATTCTTTTAATCATTACATGTTTCATTTGATACAAAATTTATTGCATACATCAACTCATATCTTATTTCATACAATATTTCATATTATCATTTCATGTTTTTTATACATAATTTCATACTTCATTTCATTACAAATTACATTTCGTACATTATTCCATACAGCATTTCATAATCATTTTATACAGCATTTCATAATCACACCATTTCTAAATATAAATGACGGGTATTAGACACCATAGTGCAATCTTGAAAAATTATTGACAAATGTGATCAATACAAAATAAAATATAACAATGGAATTTCAATTGCATTTATTATAATTGTTAGTGTCAATTGGAATATACATTTACAAGAATGTTAAGGTAAGACAAAAGTTAAACAATATTCAAAGTTGATCTGTGACTAATTTTGTAAAGCACTCGTTTTAAAAACAGTTTTCAAACAGATGAAAGGCCTTCCAATGGAAATAACTGTGTACCCCTGATCACTGATTTATTTTTGTATTGCTACAAGAGGAATTCCTTGTTATGTTTCTCTCCTAATTTACAACAGGAATTTATACATGCATTCCCTTCCCCCTCATATCCCATTTTGTGTCCGTCTCCTCCCCCTGAACACACACCTTTTCTTTACACCCATTGTCCCTTAAATGCTCGTACCAGCTAATTTAGTCCTTCTCATTTCAATTATTACATGTGCCTCTCCTCCTGTCACTATCCTTATGTCCTCTCCCGTTTTTGGTTCGGTGACCTCTGAGTTTCCTATTGGTGCGGCTTGATTGTGTCACGTGTTGCGTCCCGTGAACGTTGCCTTGCCTCGTTGATCTTTGTTCCTATTTTACATTAAAAGTTGAAGCATTACTGAAAAAACAAATGTTCATAACTTTTTTAACTAAAACATCAAGACAATGCTATGCTGTTTTTATTTTTTCATTTATTTCATATTTCAAAAGCATATAAATATAATCATTCATATTTACCTACAACATTTGTAACTTAATATATAACATATCTATCTTAGTCAGATACATATTCTTTTACCTTACGTTCACTTTTTACAATCAAGAAGCAGACATCACAAACTCAAAGGCAAACAAACAAAAACTTAACATTTTCCCATTTGAACAAACAATATAAAGTAGATACGACAGAAATTCAACAAAGAAAAACCGTAAAAAAACTCTCAAAATAATAAAGAATAAAGAAAAAACCACTAAAACAAACACGCTTACACTCGAAAAATGCACACACACAGCAACACAAACACACAAAAAGGGGAAAAGGCGACAAGTGAATCAGTTTTATTTAATTTTTTACGTTTTATGGTTTAATTTACATAATATTGTTGTTTTTGTCATCATTTTTATTTGTTAAAGTGTGAGATAGTTTACTCCATTTTTGTTTGTACGATTAAACTTGATCATTTGACAATGCAATTGCTTCTTCTATCTGTACCCTTAATAGCAAAAAGTTTTTAAAACTATCAAAGTCGGCTTACTTCTTTTGTATTACATTTTTGAAATGTAATATTTCATTAGAATGATGATATAATTTACTACATTACTATTTATATTGATTGTAAGCTCTCCAAAAATCACTGTTTCATTACTGTATGAAAAATGAAGGTTGACTGACAAGAGAAAAGAATGTAAGTTTGCAAAGTATTACATTCCCAAAATAGATGATGCAGTGTTTCTAAACAACCGCAGCAAAAATCAAACAAATTCGAACTGCATAGTTTATATTTGAAAAGCATAGTGTTTGTTGCAGAAACGTATACTGAACATTTCTTAATGTCACATCTATAGTACTTTGTAGTGGTATAGTATATTTCTTATTCCAATTCAATTCTATATCTATTTTTTCCCATTGCTCTTCATTTTTATTTATTGTTTTGGATTTTGCAATATTATTGAATAATATATATAAAATGTGTTGCTTTTTAGTTTCTCAGGGTATTGTTTTGGTATATTGCTATGTTGTAACCATTAACTCATACTTTTTTCTTCAAATGACAAGAGTTTGTTAAACATTGAATAAACATTTAAAAAATCAATCGTATTGAGTAGCAAAAGGAGGAAGTTTACATAGTGTATCTATAGAATATCTACGACATATGATTGGTTAGTAAACATTTTACGTATACACGCAATGCATGTTTCAAACTAAAATGTCGCCGAACTTAATAGGACTATCTTCCATTTGTTTTCTATTTCTAAGTTGTTTTAGAACCGGTAAGTGCATCTTTTGTGGAAACCAAACTTTTGATGGTTACCTGCTACCTTCCATAAATTGCTTTGTATTTCCGTTTATTTTATAGATAGGTAGAAGATACAAGAATGACATTTTATCTTGTCTTTCACGAAGTTTTCAGTCTCCGATGTTTCAAAGGGTTGAACCCTCTGGTTGCTATTAAGCACATATTGTCGTTCTTCATGAAAAAAGATAACAACCCAGCAAACTCCTTGAAACAGAGGGGTTTGAACTTTCGAATTTTCGGCGATGGATAACTTTGTGAAAGAGATATTTATTTTTTTATTGTTTCCAGAGTTATTTCTGTTTTAATCTTATTTTCTATATGTTCATTTTTAAATTATTTTTATCTATGTTTTGTTTTTGTTAAATCATCTCCTAAAGGTGTTTTACATTAATCAAATGTGAATATTTAGTACAATGTTAATATTATATGTTCTTTTCTTCCAAAAAGTGAAGCCTTCATAAACTATTTAGAAATATTTAATTAATCTTTGTCAGGTTTTTGGTTAAAATATACCTACAAGTTCTGCGTTCCACACTTTTGAAACTGGCAGTTATCCAAATCAATAAAACTGCAATAGAAAGAATAACAAACAAAAAAGAAAAAAATGCGATAAATATAAACCTATTTGTAATGGATTTTTGATGATAAAAGGTTATAGTTTAACAGAGAACTATATCATTTAACTTTAATATCTAGTTAATGAATATTGAATATTGAATAAAAAAATTTTAACGAATGCAAAATTCTTCAGATATATATCGATTGAAAGTCGATGTTTGGAATGAAAGAGGATAGTCGAGGTCATCGGATTGTGTCAAAAGTCCTTGATTAAAAGATTTTTTTTCACAATTCACGTTATTTTCTTTTCAGACAATCTTTTGAAAAACTTAAATTAACTTTTTCCAAATTAAATGTCAGTAAACAAACTTAGACAACACGTTTTATTTTCAAATTAAATCATGTCACAGCTGATATTTGAAATCTATAATGTTTAATCATAATTGTTCATGCATTTTCGAAATACTTATTTTCTTTGTTTAGTCAATTACAGTTACTATTTTTCTGATAAACATAGCAATCGCTGATCATGAGCCTCAGGCATTACCAGACTTAGAGAGGCGGGCAAGAAACTACCAAGCTAAAGGCGATGATTATGATAGCTATGTAAATGATGAATATCTAAGACCAGGTTGGTTTATTGTTGGTAAATATAGGATGCCTGACAGTTCAACATTACCTACTGGTCCGTCGTGTGGTACGAGAAACCCTATATATATCAAAGGTACATTTATTACTATAATAGATTATTAAACTGCTTATTTATGTTATTTTGAATGTTTCTATTGATATTCATCGAAATGTTGTTTAAATAAGAAATTTTAAATGTACATATACTGTAAAAGTTTAGATTTTTTGATGGTCCGTTCTACAATAATTAAATTCCATAAATCAACATGTATGTGGATAGTAATGACATTTATGAAGAAACCATTGATTACCAACTCAGTTATTGATTAATTTAAAAAAAAACAGCTTTGAATCATAGTTAAAAATTCTTAATTATTATGAAAAGTTCTTAGCATCGTGACGCAAAGATGCACAGGTGGTTTTAAAAGTTTATGGCGCAGTTTCCATATGAACATATCGACAAAATGAAACTATTCAAACTTGGTATGAAAGAATGTGTTATTAGAAACCTTTTAGCTAAATAAATAATAAGTGATCACTGAATTCGTCAGAGTGATCTGCACTTGAATGTGATTTTGCAATTAAGTCGACTACAAGAAAAAATAAGGCATTGCATAGCTTAATTGTAGATCATCTGCCAAGCAAATTGGGCAACTTCGATGACCGATTTCTCGAAAACAAACTCAATGACTCTGTGTCTTTAATAAATAATGTATTTATATTCAAAAAGTTTAAGAGTTTTTATTCTGCCTATGTGTCTTTACGAGACTGTGGTATGCATATTTCAAACATTTTAAGTAACAACAGAAAATAAGTCATAATTCGCAGGTACATATTGATCGTATTTGACAAGCATCATTTCCTTTACAGACAATGCATTCATTTTATGTAACAAGTTGTAAGATATGGCCTCAGGCAAAGCATTTTCTTTTTAATGCTTATGTTGAGGTTATAAAGGGCCACAACTCGTGTCTTATCTATATATGCATCGACGCCAAGTCTCATTAGAGTTACAAAGTTAAAAGTTGTATATCCTGATTGACGGGAGACTGTTCATTCTAAATTGTTTTGTATGCCTTCACCATTGTCCTTTTAGCCACATAAAACCAATTAAGGCATTTAAACCCCTTATGGGGTGAAAAATATTGAAGGAAAATTTACTTTTTCCTTTTATTACGATAACTACATGAACTCCAAATAAGAGTACTGACGTCCAAGGTCATTTCCCTATCACCTTTCCTATTTTATTGACGAGAAAGGAATTTTACCACATAATTTGACCTTTAATAAACTTATTATGCGAAATGACTAAATTTAAGTTTACATGTTATATATCATATTGGAGAGACGGGTGAACAATCGGAAAAACCAAAAAAAGGAGTCACTTGGTTCAACTTTCTGTTTCATGCTAAAGGACACCATCCGAATATCACGGATACGAATTGTCCAGTTTATGATGTTATAGCTTGCGAATGGTACGATTTTGACAATTGCTCAAACGAACGGAACATACACGTGCGACAATGTGGCAATGATATTCAGTACTATCTTGCTCGTACCAGTAATTTAGCAGGCTACTGTATGGATAAGTTCAGAAGTGCAGAAAGGTTCAAACCAGTATGTGTCTGTATATTTCATTTACTTATATATCAATGTTATACATTTTTTATATAATAACTATTATTTTTATCTATTAAATTGATTATTGTTGTTTTATAGAAATTAAATTAGATTGATGACATTTATATGAAAAAAATATTTCAACGCCAGTTTAAATGAAATTGTCAAATTATTTATCTACAAGATAAATTATTTTGATATAATTACTATTGTTTGATCTATTATATTGATTATTGTCAGTTTTTTTTTTTAGAATTTAAATAAGTTTGATGACATATATAAAAATATTTTAACGCAAGTTTAAATGATTTCGTCAAAAATATTTATCTACAAGATATATTATAAAAAGTAACATTTATATTACTTGATTTTTTTTCCAGATCCTCCGGAATTAGCGAACGTTACAGGTAAGTATCTTTTATAAAAGTAACAATACACGATAGTGATTTACATGTAATGAAGGTAAATAGGGCAAAATATAGCTTAAATAACCATACATCCTGATTACATTTCTATGTTTGTGTTTACTTAAGATAAAGTTTGTACTGTTAATTATTCAAAAGCCTTAATTTCTTTTATTTATTTTATTTATTTATTTTAATTTATTTTATTTTATCTTATTTATTTATTTATTTATTTATTTATTTATTTATTTATTTATTTATTTATTTATTTATTCATTTATTTATTTATTTATTTATTTTATTTGTTTATTTATTTATTTATTTATTTATTTTTGAAAATGCTTTTAGAATTCTGTTTTTACGTCTCCAATACTCCACTTATTTCAGCAAATTTAAGTGTTCTTATTGCAGATTTTGATGAAGCCCCAACCGATGTCTCTCTCGGTGATCTAACTGTCGACGCAAAATTAAAATTCGAAATTGTCAAAAATTCTGAACTTCCTTTCATAAGGTTTAGCTGTCTCGAGTCGCCTGCTGTTAATAGAAGTGACAAAGAAGATCTGCTATATTCAACATACTGGTAATTAAATTTCACACGAGATTGACTGCATTTTACTGACAAAATACATTGTATTGTTATATCGTATGTAAAGGCAACATCAGTTTTTCGTGTTTCAATATCAGAAGCAGTTATGAAATGCATTAGATTTGATTTGGGGGAAAAACATTATAAGTACTTGTTTTGATAGATTTGTAACATATTTTATATCTTGCACAAAGTAATCCCAACAACCCAATAGAGGTTTCATAGCTAGCTTTACAGGGATTGTGTTCAAAATTATCAAGAATTTAGTTCTGTCACAGTATATCTTATCTAATTGATTTTTTCGGTCTGAATACTTCAGTAAAATCAAGCAATCGATTATACTGAGACACAGAGCATTACAGAGTATGTTAGTAATAAACACGTCAAAAATATTCAAACTCCAAGTTCTTACAATAAGGTTTCACTGCTAATTTGTAACTCATATAGCATTGATATACTAAACAGGTTTGTAGAGTCGACCTTATTCAAAGTATTTGAGAGAGTTACAAAGGTAATGCCATTAAACGAAAGTGAATTGACAGATCGGGGATATACCATAGGTTTTACGGTAAGTATGAGAGGTTAATATATTATAGCTGTAATCAAGCTATTTAGGTTTGAAAAAAAGTTTGTCGTTTAAAAAGAAATGTAAAGAAAATATTTGTTGGTGTCCGAATTAAACATATACAACATATGGGTTGTTTTAAACCGTTTTACTGAAACAGTTTTATTCTTAAAAATATTTATAACTTAAAGACGAATAACCTGACCTGTTTTCACACCAAATCAGGGTAAATGTAAATATATTTACATAGTAGTTATATACGAGTATGTAATAACGACACTTATTGCATTGATACCGGCATTGATTGTATTCATTAACCAAACACAAGACGCAACCAAATGTCGTATTTTAAATAAAAAAAAATGCTTAGGTAATGAGACATTAACTTTTTCTCTTTTAGATCCGATGTGGAATAAGAATGTCAACATCTTTGACCGGGTACAAGACAGAGATGAAATCTAGCAAAAACTTCTATGCCGGGGTAAAGGTAATACCATCTCTATGTGATAATAGTCATATTGTGTGATGATCACATAGCATAACCAAAAACAACTTACCATGTTTTGCTAATCTACAGAATGTCTTGCCATTAAAATACTTTTGCAAAGTGGTTAACTCATGCTTAAAATGTTCATATATCTTTCTTTATTTTGTTTCAGATTCACCCTAGTGTAATCAATATAAAGAAAAACGACACAGCAAAAGTTATTCTTGAATCAACTATTCCATACGGTTGCTACGCTCCAGTTAACGACCCAGTTCAAGATAGCGCAAAATGCACTATTTTAGTAAACTTGCATTATCCTGAAGAAACAAGTAACTCGTGTAGTATAGATGACACCGATGTTTGATCATTACCCATGGTTTATGACATAGTTAATGACGTACAAGCTAAATGTGGAGTAATAATTTCGGTACAAACTGAACAAATATAATTAAACACTACTGCACATGCACTTACACTTTTCACAAAATCGGGAAAAAAATTTACTTTTCTAAATACAAAGCTTTTTGTTCTAAAAATTAGATTCGGCTGCGTGCAAGCGATGCGTATATGGCACACTAAATATTGCAAATACATTTTGTAATTTCTTTATGGCTAAATGTTTTTTATTTTGTAAAAAAAAATTTGCTTTTCGTTAAATTAATTTCATTTTTAATTTTTCTTTCATTATCTAATGAAAACACTTGTTATAACTAATAACAGGGGTTTTTGCCAAAGCATGATGGATCCCAACAAATGAAGAACGTAAGCTTGAGCTTAACATCACCATTTTTCTCAAACTCCGATCCGACTGAATACAGACTCACTTTGCGAACAAGTGGAAATCATCAACATAAAATATGGAAAGATGCCCTGTTACCTGAAATGCAGGTAAATCAATGAAAATATTTTAATTTGATTTAATTGTTAAAAAGAAAAACAGTCGATCATCAAATTATTTTTTCTCTCAAGAATACATATTTCCTAAACGTCCTTTCATAATATTTAGATTATGTTACTGTTATTTACATATTGTTAAAGAAAATGATTATTTTCTAAGCATTTATGTATAAACTAGTGTTATTGATGTTTGTTTTTTTATTTTTTATTCATTTTTTTTCCTTTCGTTGTTTATGTGTTTTGTTATTGTTGATTTTTTATTATTGTTTCTTCCAGTTAAATATAATTGTAGACGAGAGATTCGAGTCAAATATATGTTACTCTCATGTTGATCCCCATATGTGTACTTGTGACGGAAGGTAAATACTTTCACTCATATAAATGTACTTCTCTGAATAAACATTGTCTTAATAAATTTATAATTAATTTAGGTCTATAGCCATAGCACAGGGGACCAGCTCCACTGACCCAGATGGGCACTAGAACATAAATTTATATGTGAAGGAGAACGTAAATCATTCACATGGTCAGTTTCAACTGTATCACATTTTTATGAATTTCAAAGTTTTTTTTAACAGAAAAATGGAATATTATTCTATCCTTCTTACTTTCTTCTATATTCAAATTTTTGTATTGGATTTTCATGATATTCTTCCCGACGAGGGTTCTGGTGTGTCCAAAACATGCAGTGCATTTTAAGAAAATGTCATGTAATAAAAGGGATTTAATTTCACTCAAAACAATTAGTTTTCACAAAATCTGACCGCAGAACGCTTCTAAACATTTAAACAAACCATCATTGATATATAAATTGAATATTGGATCGACGATCAAAATTGGACTTCCAGCTAAAGCTATGATACCTGTTGTTGATGACGTTTCCCAAGTTCTGTTTGTACGGAAGTATCCGCAGTTTTGAAGATAGTTTTTCTATATCACCTATGGATTTCTTCCGTCTATTCTTTCTTCATTTAATGTTTCAATAAAGGTTTGTTTGACTGCAACGTTTTGAAGAACTTTGTTATTTCAGTCTGTTCAGTGACATTTTTTTCATTTGCATTGAATGTTTTGACGCACAAAAATCTGCGCCGGTTAGAATATTTCAATAAAGACTTCATGGAAATCCAATACAAGGAAATGGGTAAGTGTAAAAGAAAGTCAGAGGGATAGCATAATATTTCGATTTTCTTATAAAAATGTTAAAAGGTTGAAGAATTACATTGTGACTGACTTACTCTCGCTTTGAAATATTGGGTTCTAATTCACATCTTGATCAGAGAAATTCACATACTAGTATATTATTTACCGATGCTCAATTTTGAGATCCATATGGAGTTGACTCCCCTGCAAATAAAGGAAATACTGAAATTCTGTGATTTTTTATAAACTTCGCAAAAAAAATGTTTTACATAATAATGTGCTTCAGCGGCAGATACAGTAAACTTTTAAGAAAGGAAGAAGTGCATTTGATACAACTGTTGAAACTGATGTTAAACATACTTTGTCTTTTTCAGGTTTAATTGTTTTTCTAAAGATTGGTAAAAAATGAAGTTTCCATGAAAAATAGCAGCTTTTAACTTGTGTGAAACTGATTTTATACTAAATTGCACCTTTTTTTATATGCATGAAACATTCCAATGGTGCAAAAATATTAGGATAGAAAAGATTCACAATATGTCCGATGGAATTAGAATGATTTCATGAACAACGATAAGCAAAAGCAAACTTCAAAAATGTCACTTAAGCAATTCTTGTTAGAAATGACGTCAATGCCAAATACTGCCAATTATTTTCTCTATTTAAAAAATCACCATTGAAACAGTTTTTTTTTAACCGCCGTAACAGTGATTTAATGCATTTTGTTTCGTGAGGCATTTCATTCCAGCAATATAAATGTTCTTAATGTATTTTATCAGGACTTATGAGAACAACTCCTTCAATGGGTCGTTTATATTGTACTATCATGACTCTGGGATACAGGTGAGTGGGGAAGTTTACAATTATTGTTATTATTTTATTCATTACAAAATTTAGATAAATGTTCATTTTTATTAATGTTTAAAAGGCATGACTAATTTATCTCTACAGTTTAGTTTAATATCAATATTTTAGCCAGTTCTTTGCGACTTTAGTTAATATACTTATTGCTGACTTTTACTTAATTTTCTTTACGTACTCCAAAATGTTTTATGTAAAGATTGGGCTTAAATGCAGAGTAAATGTTTAACGTTGTCGGATGTGTAGCATCTTCAAACTTCTATAATCGATAAGTTCTTGCGAATGTTCAGAATATTCATACAACAACCGTATGTACAAAACAAGAGATTGATTGTTGTTGCTGTACATGTTATTTCCATCAGCGAGCTCATATGCTTGGTCGTATGAAATTGCCCAGAACTGTTTTTGTTTGCTTGGGGCGGGGGTTGTTTTTTGTGGGGGTCTATTTTCCAAAATTTGCCGTTCCAAATATGTTTTATATCTTTGCATATTGATCGATATGCCTGTGACGAAAGACATTATGTAAATGTGTTGACTATTTCTCCTTTTTTTATTAAGGTTCAAATGAAAACGACTCCCTGCAATGACAATAGGGCATATTGCGCATGCGCAGTGGCAGTGCGAGCTGGTGGTGATGTCTTTCTCATAAATCGTTGCGGTGGTTTACGTTTTATCGACATGACCTCTTGTAAAGATGGCGGAGTATTGATTGTTAGGAAAAATTCAGAAGTTGACTATCAGGTAACTTTTCCCTACTGTGTGAAATTGTTACGCCATTTGAAGTTATATTTATACGACATTTCCGTCTATAACGATAAAATCCCATTACCCGAGAAATAGGTACTATGACTATCACAAACATTTAATTGTAAATGTTCGATCTTTGCGCCAAATAATTTCATGAGCTCATTTGTTGTACAAATATTACTGACCTGATATCTGTTGTGAAATCCCTACATAATTTGTACAAAGGAGAAGCAAACCACTGTACAATACAATTTCTCTCTTTTACTTTATATTTAGTATAAGGAGATAGATATCATTAATATTGCAGCGTGTGCGCCATCAAGAATGTAGATTTTTTTTTAAACTAGGTCTTTTATCATTTGTGGATATGTCCGTCCTTAATTCATATTAAAGTTATAACAATGTCCCGTCATTAAGATTGGAGCAAACAAGTGGTTGTTTATCTCTGACGCAGACTATTTGGTCGTTATTGCTGGAGCAAAAGAGAGTGGTTGTTTATCACTAAAGCAGACGATTTGATAGTTATCACTAGAGCAGAAGATCCTATCGTTATTGCTGGTTCAGGCAATAATTTGGTCGTCATTGCGGAATCATTCGAATGGGTGCAGGCGTTTTTGTCATTTTTGCTGGAGCAGATGGTTCGGTCGTCATTGGTGAAGCAGACATATAGATCGTTATTGTTTAAGTAGACGAATGCGTCGTTATTTTCTGAGCAGACGATTGCTCCATCATTGCTGGGGGCAGACGATTTGAACCTTTGGAGCAGACAGAGCAGTAAATGCAGACTTATGTTTTAATTTTGTTTCCTACTCTGTAAAACAATTAGTCAATTTAAAAGAAAAATATTCAGTTTTCCGTCGATAGGCAATGAAATATTTTGAGTACGCTTTTTTACTTGTCCTTTATATGAAATGTGTAATACTCTTAATGGGATAGGATATTGACAGTATGAATCTAGATGTGGACTGCTTGTCCATTTCTTATCATTATGTTAAGTTTTTAGCATGAACGATATCATTTACAGGTACAAACTAATATAGGGACGTTGATCAAGATAACTTTATTGACTGGAGACTATGCAAATATGATGAATATTGATATACATATGGCTCCAAAGGACCTCGATAGAATCAAAGGATTATGTGGAACATTTGACAAAAACAAGAACAATGATTTTCACGACAGAAACGGGGCCACAGTTAGTGTAAACAAATTTTTAGATGCATGGACGTAAGTTTTCTCCTTTTGTTCTTAATTTTTCGTTGAAATTCAAAAAATAATAAACAACTACGGCAAAGGTAAATCTGGAAGAACAGATGAAATAGATTGGATTTTGGATCTATGCAATTAACTTAAAAGATTTTTTGTCATATGATTTAGAAGGATAAATTCCAAATAACGCACAAGTATTCTCTAATATGGCTGCTTTGTCATTGATACATTTTAGTCGAAATTAGTTGGCATTTGAGATTTAAGAATAGTATCGATTTTTACAAATGTATCTCTCTATTTTACCAATCTCTGAATCTGCAGGAGAACAAATATACTGACTTCGTTATGCCAATGAACTAAGTGTAATACATTTGTATTTTTGTTATTCTTGTGAAGACTTAAGAACACGGATGTCGATTTGTTGACGCCAACATGTAATTTAAATGTTAGTACATGGACAGCAGACAACCAAGCTCTTTATTGTACTTGTCGATGTCATGATACAGAATATGATTGCGGGGCTCCTGAAGTGGAGGCAAGGTGTTCTCCATCGCAGTACGTGAACTGTACTGTAAGTAACAGTAAAACGAGTGAACTATGCGAGTATTTCAATAAACGGTGTTATATCCCATTAAGAGCAAAGCGGGATGAAAAATTGATACTAAAACAAGATCCTGAAATTGAAATGAGACGTCTAGCTGCAAGGGCAAACCTTCCTGATAAGTTTATTGCAAAGGTATGGAATATTTTGTCGTATTGTATAATACAGGTAAATGATCAATATAAGTCGTTGTCAAATTTACATTTCAACGCTTTTTAAAGCATTTTCTTCATTTTTTTAATAAAATGAAGAAACAAATTTTGAAAAATGTCCACACTTCCTGGGATTCTAACCCGAGACCTCTAGCTTACAAGCAAGTAAACACAACACTGTGGATCACACCGTATTACCAGCGCCGGTGATGAGAGATTACTGAACTGACAGAGATCTATAATATTCTGATTTCTACAGGTAGGTAATTTACTGGGTTGGTATATTTACATTACGCAATTTGACTGGGGTTACTATCAAAAAATTTGAACTCGTTTCCGAATTTCATCAAATGTTTTGAGCGGGATAAAAATGCACCTTTGGAAAAATCCGTAACAATTGTTTGTTTTTTTTTCCTCAAAATATCTCAAGTCTGAAATAAATTAATGGTTTAACAATCATCATTTAGGGCCGCGCATGCCACAGTTTGTCTTTTTGCGCCTATGATGCTGGAAACGCTCTGAAAGTGGCTAACAGTGTGAAAGAAAATCAACATCACTCTCAAGTAACAGGTGACAGTGTCACAGATTATTACTAGCGAGGTTTTACGTACGCAAAGAAATGGTCAACTGTGCACTGTATAACTTATGTACAATTTATTGAATAAATAAAGTTTAAACTAACTAACTTAAGAAGATCCGAAAGAAATGCTACCTTTACGAATGCAAGTTTAGATCTGCACAATTATGAAAATTGAACTCAAAGAGGAAGCGTTACGACAAAAAATTCCATTACATTTATACTAGTACTTGTTTTCTACTGTAACGGGACAGGTACGCTAAGGAAAGCTGACCAATAATTGTGGAATTTTAAACCACGTGCCTTTTATTTATATTCAAAAATGTGATGGAGAAAAAAATCCTTATTTAATTTAGAACTTTGTATTTTAAAAAAAGCAATTACTCTTACATAGGAAATTTAATGTGGTCGTATTTGTTCTCTATTTATTGTGCGATTTGGTTAAATCGAATCTTGTTTTGTCCTGTAACTGCGTGCAAATAAAACAGTTTTTCGATTTACTTACCGCTTTATTATCTCCTCTGTCATGAGAGAAAAACTGCAATTGATGATTTTAAATTAAGGACAAAGTTACTGTTTATTATCTCCAGTTAATAGGTAGTCAGTCTATAGCAATAAAAATTTTAATTTTTGCGTAAAATAGATATACCAATGAAATTAATTATAACTAACCATGCAGGGGATGGTCCACAATAATGTTGCAAAACATTTGGCTCAACCGTTTTGTATATTTTGTAATTATGTTGATGTTTAAGAATTGATGTACATGTATATATGCAATAAAATATTATTAAACCTGTAGTAATCAGTAAATTTTAGATTTATACCATCACTACAGCAATTTTTCATCACTACTGAATCCCAGGCTCATTTGAAAATGTTGTATCTATATCAATTGAAGTAGGTGTGCACTAATACTTAAAAATAGAATATTTGCTTTAAAGAAATGTACAGAGATCCGGTGGTATGTAGGTTCACATAATGCAGGCGAAATCTATAGACTTAATAAAAAAATTTAAACTCACTAATTTTCAGAGAGAAGTTAAAAGAGATGTTGATGAGTTTATTACGGAAGAAATGGCTAGAAGTGAGTGCACCGACTATTTGCACACAGAAGTTATTGAACAGAAATCGGAATTATTAGGTCCATTCAATTTATCTCAAGCCATTGAGGAATGTACCTGGGATGTTAATGTAAGCAATTATTACACTTCTAATTTGTAATATACATGTATATTCCATGGCCATGAGGCCCAAACCACTTGCCCCTCATTCCAGATCGAAATTGTGTGATTGTATAGTGATTGTATAGTATTTTGAGCTTTTTTCAATCATTTTCTTTATTTGTGAGATAACTGACACGGAGTTCGTCGGAAAACTTGTGTATATACTGGCAGTAACAAAGTTATCATCAGAACTCTAGGACATTTTTAAAGTTATCTTAAGAACTCTTGGACATTTGAAAAGTCGGATATAAATTTGTTAGGCTTGTAAAAAGTCTCCCCGTACATTTAATCAATGATGTTATATTTCGATCCTTGAAGATTGTTCAGCACGACATTATTGTTGTGCTTGTGGTATTTTTAGTTTCAACTTTTCGGCATTTTCTAGTTGGGTGGTTCCAATATTCCTACTTGAATAATGTTGAATCACCCTTAGGATATGTTGCCTGCTTTTTAAATTGGTCTTTTGACGTCTTATCTGTGATATGCAGGCTTCATAACCTCTGATCCCCTTTCAAAATTCCATTTTATTTAGTTCCGCCCATTGTTTTCTCGTTTAGGGCACACGCTTTCTATTACTTGGGGACCATACGCCGCTTTTCATGGAATGGCACGGAAGTGTCATGTTGAAGGTTCCATGATAACCGCCGTATGAACACATCTGCGGATGTTTCTAAATTCAAAATTTCACCATTTCATGTTTAAATGTTGAATTCTGCTTAAGCCGGTGCTAGGGGGCGTGGACGGTAACTTGCACTTTCCAGTACCGTCCATGAACAGGCTCAATCAAACCGAGCCTGCAACATTTTCAATTTTGCCGTGTTGGGCTTTCTTTAGGGATTCTGTATTTATCTATATTATGATCACATCCGTGTTATTTGTGCCGTGTGGCGGCTGTAAAAAGTCTCCCCGTACATTTAATCAATGATGTTATATTTTCGATCCTTCAAGATTGTTCAGCACGACATTATTGTTGTGCTTGTGGTATTTTTAGTTTCAACTTTTCGGCATGTCTAATTGGGTGGTTCCAATATTCCTACTAGAATAATGTTGAATCACCCTTAGGATATGTTGCCTGCTTTTTAAATTTGTCTTTTGACGTCTTATCTGTGATACGCAGGCTTCATAACCTCTGATCCCCTTTCAAAATTCCATTTTATTTAGTTCCGCCCATTGTTTTCTCGTTTAGGGCACACGCTTTCTATTACTTGGGGACCATACGCCGCTTTTCATGGAATGGCACGGAAGTGTCATGTTGAAGGTTCCATGATAACCGCCGTATGAACACATCTGCGGATGTTTCTAAATTCAAAATTTCACCATTTCATGTTTAAATGTTGAATTCTGCTTAAGCCGGTGCTAGGGGGCGTGGACGGTAACTTGCACTTTCCAGTACCGTCCATGAACAGGCTCAATCAAACCGAGCCTGCAACATTTTCAATTTTGCCGTGTTGGGCTTTCTTTAGGGATTCTGTATTTATCTATATATTGGTTATATGTTTGCAATTTTGCATTATAATTAGGTAATTATGTATGGCAGGATAAAGACTGGAATTAAACAGGTTAATACGTGCGAATTGGCAAATAATTCGGCGGAAATTTTACACAAACTACCAGATTTTAAGCAAAAGGCGATGAAAAATGGCTTATGAATTAGTTTTTGACACATAATACAAGATGTAAGGCAAGGTTAAACATTAAGATTTAATTTAGCACCTAAATCTCAATTTTTAATGATGAAAAATATCATGTTTGACGAGTGTTTTTGAAGGAACACATCGGCTATTATTCGGAGAAGACGCGGTTGATTTTTAGGTTAAGATAATCCATGAACAATGTTGTCTATCCAGATAGGACAAGATCGTGGATGGATGGAGACTCACAAACAAGCAGCTCTATCCGCCATTTAAACAAGATACAAAAGGGATGCTAATTACACGATTTCTCACACTGACGAACTGAAATAATTCAAAACAAAAACATGCCCTTACGATTGTAATGGAAATGGCGTCTGCTTAGAAAATGGTAGGGCAAAATTGTATTTAAATACTAACAGTTTTAAAAAATTAAAAATGTTAAACAAGAGTTAACATGATAAGGTGTTAGTAACAGCTGTCATTCTTAAATTAGTAAAATTTAATTCTTAAAGTAGTAAAAATTAGTTTAAAAAATCGCCATAGAACCAGGCCGGGTAATTGTAAAATATATTTTAAAAATACAATTATTTTATGTGATTTTAGGAACATGTTCGTGCAGCATTGATTTCTTCGGACCAACCTGTAGTAATATTAAATCAGAAGGGCCAGTAATTGAGGATATTGAGGGAGGAGGGTTCTGTGATCAGAGCTATGGCAGAGACTGTAGCTGTTCCGCTGTTCAGTTGGAGGCTTTACACGAATTCTTCTTCTGCAAAAGAGTTATGATACAGGTGTGTATTTATTACATTTTTGTACTAAAGTTAATGTCAGTTAACTATTTTTATGTACTCATCCACATTGTATGTTGTACACAAAAACTTACAAGTAATTTAGTCATAAGAGTAAGGTAATTTTAAAAAGAAATTTGGTCCGAAAACGAGAGAACTAGATTTTCCCCTAATGTTTCTTAGTCTTCTGTAAATAAAGGTTTTTTTGTTTTGGTTTTTTTCATTTTCAGGCAAAAGTCTTACAATTTTTCCTTTTGCCTCTGGGTTGTATTTACAATTTCTTCTTGCCAAAGTGCCAGAAACATGTGGTATGGGCACAAAATAAAACAAACTATACCAGTGCGCGTGTGTGTTTGCGCGTGTGTGTGCGCGTGTGTTTGCGTGCGAGTGTGTGCGTGTGCGCCTGCGTGTGTGGGGGAAGAGATTGTGTGTGTTTACGCGCGTGTGCGTGTTTGTGCGGGTTTTATTTTTGTTTGTTTGAGTGTTTTGTTATGGATTTTGGGGGGACCGCAGTGCAGTTAAAACTTTGTTTGGAAGAGGTAGGAGGTTTGTAGAGTGGTAAGGCGTGTAGTGAGCAATCATTGCGCCGAACACCTATGGGGTGACTTTGTACTGAACCAGTAAACGGAGAGCTTTTACATACTAAATATTAGGGAACATTTTTATTATGCAGAAAACAGTAAGCGGGGAGTCACGTGTGGTAGGAACAGAATTAGTACCCGGCTGGTACCGGAATATGTATAATGGCGAATGTTGCTTTGAAGATGACAGAAGAAAACGTTCCACTGACTCTGAAACCGACGTGTTACATTACAAGCATGAAATCTCTATCAGTAATGATGGACAAACTTACGGACCTATTGCAACTCTGTACGTCTTTGATTCCTTATGTGTAGAGGTGGTCACAGACGATGGCGGAAATGCAAGTTTTTATCTTAAAGTAAAATACATTCTTTATTCAAGTCTATTATCAATAATTTGGAAGATTCTATGTTTTCAATGTTTTAATAACTGAACTATTAAACTATTGAAATCATATTTATCAATACATTTTAATCAATGTATGTTACTAAGAACTTAAACTATTCTGATCCATTCCACGCTGCTAAATATGCAAATCTCATTAAACTCATATCCTAACTGTCGCTCCACTACCCTTCGAAGTGAAGAAAAACGGAGCGAAAACGATGATCTGATTTTAATGAGATTGAGCTACATGTGTGAAGGGCAATATTTATGTATGTTGTTTCTTCAGTATGTCATTATCTTGACAATGTCCGCCGAGTACATTGTATAAAGCCTTATGCCTGATAAATTCATTATATTTCAAAATTTGAATTTCTGTGAAGATTCTCTTTTACCAGTTTAATATGTTTGCAGGAAAATACTTGTATAATTGAGGGAACATGTTACGAAGCACAAGCTGTTGACTTTAGCAATTATTGTTTCCGCTGTATGCCAGATATAACACAATACAACTGGACAGAAGGTTGTGTTTTTTTCCACACCATTCGCTTTCTTTTTATTTGTTAAAAATAGCATTCTGTTTAATATGCTTATCATTTGTTAAATGTTTACTGTTTTTGCGTATTAGTGTTGTTGTTGTTAGATCTATTATTAGTATCATTAAATTAATTTCTATATTAAATAATTAAACTTTATAGTTCTTTACTGTCAAGTTATATAAAACATTACCAGAAACCAATACATTTTTGACAATGCAGGTTGTATTAAAGACAAAGATGAAAGTCAAAGTTCTACTTTTATCGTTGGTATAATAATTGGAATTGTTGTTGGGGTTGTTGCAGTAGCGGTAGCTGTTTATTTCAAACACATGAAGAAGCCGGACAGGTACAATTGACATCATCCCTTACTTTGTATAGTTGTCATAAGAAACTAGCCATTGATATTCCTTTACTTGGGGACCATACGCCGCTTTTCATGGAATGGTGTATAAACTTTAAAACTGGGTGGATTTTAAGGACACTTGGCAATGGCTTTCAATTAGACAACTGAAAACCAGCTAATACTTGATTGGAGTGCATGTAATGAAGAACCTGTAATTGCTAATGTGTGTGGAATAATAAGGAATACAATGTATTTGTATTGAAAATGTGAATGATATTTGGAAGACTATGTTTCAGTGGTAATTTTAGCGAGAAAAGCATAATACAGTTGCTATTATGTCAAAGTTTGACATAATCTGAATGTTACAATTTTAAAACAGCAGCGTTCATAGTGCGGTGATACCAATGTTTCTAGCATCAGACCGGCGGGAAATCTATGATATTGTTTTGTTCCGCCATTGTCTCGTAAAAATATTTAAACAAATGCTTAAAAGATTTATTCAACCTCATGTAAGTTTAAGACAACATAGATATTATATTACATTGTATATTCAATTTGGATAGCCCTCTTTCATGAAATAGTTATACATTCAAACAATGAATACCAGGTGGGGGTTATATTTTATATTTTTTACCAATAATCTATTCTTATTTGTTGAACTGAGTTTCTTGTGATCTTTTTTTTCAGAACTGTGCGCCCTTTCCAGGAGTTTTCAGACGCAGCGGCAATGTCAAGGCCGTCGTCAAGCAGGCCATTATTTGATCGAACACAGCTTGAATAATATTCATTCTGACTTTTCTGCAAAGAGATTTTACGGTTGAAACAGCATGTAACATGTAGATCCTGTAACTCTTTTTTATGGTTTTTATATCATAAATATGATGCTCAAATGAAGATTTATCAATATTGTAAGTTCAAAAAAGCATCATTTGTAAAGATATTACCGAATTTACATTTCATTTAAATAACGGGAGGTAATTAGAAATTTATTTTTGATAAAGATTAAGCCAATTTTTTTCAATAAGAAATGAATGCATAAAGATTACTTTCAAAGATTATTTATAATGCGTATAATAATGCGTGTAACATTTGCAGTACATATTTAACATATTCTTGGATGTTTGGACATTGTTTTAGAAGAATAACTATATACATATATAAAACTTCACTAAGGTACTGTTACATCCTTCATTACAACATACAAGATCTTTAACTGTTCAAAATTAAAGTGTATAACACACTATCTGGTGTTATCCAATATGCCAGTATAGTTTAGTCTTTATTTTTTCAGTGAGATAACATATGGACTCATCTTAGATTATCAAACTTGAAATTCTTTATTATTTACATTGTATACTCAGAGAATGTCTTCTATCAAAGGTGATAACATTTGTACCTTCTTTTATAAAATCGTGTTTTGTTGTTGTTGTTTTTTTTTTGGTTTTTTTGGTTTGGTTTGGTTTTTATTTTACTTTTTTATTTTTATGTTTTTTTTTTTTTTTTTTTGGTTTTTGTTTTGTTGTTTTTTTTTTGGGGGGGGGGGTTTTTTTTTCATTTTTGAAAGGCAAGGTTCACTAACAGGGCATTTTAGCCCTGTAATCATAAAAATGCAAAACTATTTAGTTTAAAAAAACAGTTACAGTGTTGCTATGGAAACAGGACAATTTTACACTAGTGAATTTACAAGATAATAAGCTTCTGAAAATTCAATGCCTAATTTGTAAAGGTCCATTACATTAAACAAGATGATCATATGAACAGTACATGTATTTACATTAAACTAGTTTTCTGTGAAAAAAAAGTTTTCATAGCAACTCTGAGACAATCAAACCATTCATATTCCTAATTTTGCAAAAAGATGCAAAATCTACCCTTGTACTGACAGTATATTCATTTGATAGGTTTTACAATAGTCTAGATTGCAATATTGTGTGCAATTCGGTAATTTTGTTGTTTTGCAGTGTTAAAAGATATGAAAATTGTTAAAGGCACATTATGCCTCAGAAACAAACAAATTTTTACTTCATTAGAAGGATCAAACATAATTTTTTTACGATGTTAAAGTAATGATTTTAGAGAATGTTAGATGTTTGTTACCTGGTGAAAGGAGCGATAAATGTGAAATAATTCGTCACAAACGTAGCAAAATGTAAACAAAGAAGTACATTTTGTATTTTATAACGTTTAAATAAGGCTGTATAATGTATAAAAAATATTGCTGAAGGTGAATTTATTTGTCATAAAATAAGTGGAATTTTGACTTCCATACAAAATACTAATTCTTATTGCTAAAAAATCAACAGATGAAAAAAGACGGTTCTGGTAATTGGCCAATGAGTAACATTTTGGATACAATAAAGTACGCCAAAATTGAAAGGCTTTTGAGAATAAAATTTAAAGCATTTCTGAGGCATAATGGGCTTTTAAGTCACCATGGATTTATTAGTTTATGAATTTATTTAATGTTTGAATCTCAGGCACTCATTTTAGTCAGACTACACAGATGTTCAGGGCTGCAGGCTGGCCTGATTCTGTTACATTATACGAATTTATTTACTTATATAGTTTGATTGTGTTGGCAGCTTTAAGCTTATTGAAACACTCTCGAATCCGTTCCTGGAACCAACCAGTACTAAGCAATGAGTGTAAAGTTTCTTGCCCAAGGAAACAACGACTTGCCCGAATGCCCGTGATAGGGTTTGAACCAACGCGGTCAGCAATCCTTAGATATCTAGTCCGAAGTGTTAACCACTCGGACACGCCGCCACCATGATTCTGTTTTGATGCTAATCAAAGGTTTCAGTAGGTAAATGATGGTTAAACTTGACGTCGTTTTCTCAAATACAAATGTTACATTGTATGACCAAAATAACATTTATGTTATTTAATGAAAGCTTAATGTGATATTTTCGCTTGTTTTTTATTATTCTATGTTTTGTTAAATTATATGCTATCGTTGAAATAAATATATTTTAATAATATAAACATGCTTATTTTTGTGTTTATCTATTGATATATTTTTTATAATGTTGACAGAAAAAAGAGCTGTCAAAGGAGACAGCGAAGCTCGACTAATTAAATACTGGACGCAGTAAGCAAGACAAAACTATGAAAGAAAAATCAATTATGATATAAATATAGTTCTTCTTTTGACAAGAAGTTATTGTTGTTAACAAAAATTCAAAGTTCAAGGGGGAAAAATTCTGGAAATAGTGACACTAGAGTTATGGACCTTGTCACACAACATGTGTGTAATGATAAGAAATGTATATTTGACGTTTGAAGTAGATACCTTAAAAAGTAAAGAAGTTATAATATTTCTTAAAGAAAATCCTAAGTTCAAAGGGAGATAAATCAGAAAATATTGCTTCAAGAGTAATGAACCTTGTCACATAAGATCTGGCTGATGATAAAGAATATGTATTTGAAGTTTGAGGTAGATACATTTAAAACTAAAAGAAGTTTATAATAGTGAAAAATAACATTTTTAAGTAAAAAAAATCTAAGTTAACAGGAAGATAATTCTTACAATATTGGTACCAGAGTTATGAACCTTGTCACATAAGATGTGGTTGATGATAAGGAACATATATTTTTATATCTATAAGTATTAAGTTGTTCCCTTAAGAAATAAAGAAGTAACAGTAAAAAATAATATTTTTTAAGGAAAATTCTAAGTTCAACTCAAGTGGAGATAAATCTGAAAATATTGGTGCTAGAGTTATGAACCTTGTCACATAAGATGTGGTTCATGATAAGGAACATATATTTGAAGTATTAAGTTGTTCCATTAAGAAATAAAGAAGTAACAGTAAAAAATAATATTTTTTAAGGAAAATTCTAAGTTCAAGGGGGGATAAATCTGAAAATATTGGTGCTACAGTTATGAACCTTGTCACATAAGATGTGGTTGATGATAAGGAACATATATTTGAAGATGATACCTTAAGAAATTAAAAAGTTATAGTGAAAAATATTTTACTGCACCAAAACTTTAATCTGAAATCTGGATGCGGACGCCGACGCCAGGGCGAGTAGGACAGCTCTCCATATACTTTGTATAGTCGAGCTAAAAACGAACTGAAGATTTTTACTATACATTCTTCCTGGAATGGTCTCAATATATCATAATATAACCTAAACACCACTTCCAATGTGTTCCATTTTGCTTTTATTGGAAACATATATACTTATGCGAGCCGCATGCGAGCAAAATACATGTACATGAATTAGTTAATTCAACTGGTTCAATAAATTCAGTTATGAACCTACACAAATATTATTTTCTATTGATCACATACCCAAAATAAAAACTGTTTAAAAGTGCAAAAGAATCATTTTTCATTGACGCCCCTGTAGTGTAATGCAAACATTTTCCGCGTCTTTACACTATACTATACACTACTTTGTATAACGTTAATGATGTCACTTCAAAATATGCAATACCATCGCAAAAACGACACGGGTATACACCATAAAGGTCTCTTTTTGTTGGTCTAGTGTTTAACATTATGTATGGGTAATATATCACTTCAATGGTCAAAACAACACATCATCAATGGATCAGATTTTCTTTATTTTTACACAATATTTGCATATAATTTCTGCAAACAGTATAATTCATAATGAGAGACAAAAACAACAATATAAAATCAATATTGAGGCAATGGCTATAATAAGTAATCAATAAAATATTGTCTATAAAACTTGAAAATAAAATACACACAATTTTTATCTCTCTTAAAGATTGTACATGACACAAAAAAATGTTCCCTTAGCTTACAAGATTCATTTGAAAAACATTTTATGTAATAATTTTACAGAATTCTTAATGAAAGTGTCAATAAAAAGAAACTGGCATTATGTAAAATATGCCTGTCTCCAACCTTAAATTAAGACCTGCCGTAATATATTAACATGTCATTTTCAAACAAATAAAAACACAACCTTGAAAATCAGCCATTAATCATTGTTAAATGTCAAAAAAAATATCGAAAATCTTCAATGTCAAAATCAATGTCAAAAACTTTAAGTAAAAGTTGGATAAAAAGAAATATAAGATCTTTTATCAGATATGATCATTGTTGAATGTCAAAATAATCAAAGTCAATGTCAAAATCTTCAATGTCAAAATCTTCAAAAAACTTTGAAAGTTTGAATAAATTGAAATATCTTTCATCAGATATCATATGATCAAAAGTATGGCTCTACAGTACTTTTGGAAATTGCATCAACTATTTTTTTTGTTATTAATTTTTTAAAAATATAGCATTGAACAATGTAAAGTTTAAACCTACAGCCCGGTCCATATGACATTTATGTTAAATCCAGGACCGTTCAAACCATGTAGGAAAATCACAAGCTTAACCAAAGTATCAACATTTAGTTAAAATTTCATAAAAAGGATTATTAAAAAATGGAATTGATGAAGATGCCTGCATCACACTAATGAGAGTATATGACCTGTTTATTATGTACCTATATAAAATAGTAAATATACTAAAGTACTAAAAAATCGAACAAAAAAAATAAAATGCTATATTGAAATTATAAATGCATTTTTTTTTATTCCTATCATGTATTATGCTGTGACATTTTTTTTTTACAAATTGCCAATATAAATCTTAAGTTAAACAAGGGAAGTAACTACTGTCATGCCAATACAACCATTTCAAAGAGACTGACCTCCCCTAGATAACAATATACCAATTTAACAATTTCAGTCCCCTTACAAAGTTGAATTCAAAATAAAAAATGCTTAAGTAAGTTGAATTCAAAATAAACAATACTTAAGTATAAACATACAACTGCCACAGGGAAAATAAAATCAGGCATATAAAATTAGGATGCCCTTGTCAATAGCACACAAATAAGCACAATTTTCTTTGCCAAAAAAGTACATTTCCTGAATGAAGTAAATCTGTATACAATTCAACTATACACTCACTAGAACTGGAATGCTGGAAAGTTATGTATATAAAGAAAAAACAACATTCCTGCAATGTAAACTATGTCATTTAAATAATGTAGTTGGAATGATAATTAATATGACTTCTGTTGATGTTAAAACTTCTGAACTGTGAAATATTAATGGCATGAAAAAACAATTTGTATGAACATCATTTTTATTGTAATTTTGTTTATATATCTAACAGCTCAAGCAAACAGACAAAAAGTTTGAGGGGGAAAAAATGAGAATTTCAACTGGATAAATAATGGTTGAGACCTGGAACCGATCATATGACAAAATCATTTGATTGGCTGCTTTTGAAATGAAACGAACCAATGGGAGTGCAGTATTTTTTCAATAGTTACAAATCATTATAATTCTTGTGATGCTTGAAAATAAAACTGCCATAATATCTTAGATGTGGTAAATCTTTATGACATAACCTGGAAACAAATAAATATTGCAGTAGCCAATAAAAATGTGGCTCATCTTTAAGCAGCAGGCCTCCAGATTATTGCTGTTTTTTCAAGAAAATTCTTAAAATGTATATTTAGACAAACAATTGTGAATTGAACAAAGAGTGCAAACAGCAATTACAAGCAATGTAATTTACCAAAAAGGGGCCAAAATAAGCAAAACAGCCCTTTCTGAATTACTGAATTAGTTACACAGTAGAAATCTGGTGATAAATACTGCAAAATCAGTCCTTAGTGGCACACAACATGTAAATTATTACTTGAATCTTGAATCTTTTCTTAAAATTTAAAATCTTTAGTACATTTTTCTCAAGTTTAATTTTCTTGAAATATTTTGGCTCATCTGGAGGCATGCAGCTTTAAGAAATAAACTATTTAAAGAGGTAAACATACTGAAATAAATATATAATTTATGTAAGATAACATAATAAGATAGCACTTTTTCACAATATAGCATCACATTTTGATCTTATATGACTTAATCAAAAACTTCATGCTTTAAACTAATATTCATAAAAAAACATTGTGAACAAGTTAAAATTACAGAACAGAATCTAAACTTTTTTTTACACTCTGTAACAGAAAATTACACTCATAACAATAAATATACACAAAAGAATCTTTTATTAAATTCAATAAAAAAAAACTTTTTTTAAAAACTCAAAACTTAATAATAAACAGTCATGTTAAAGTTTTTACAAGATAATCAACCAAGCTGACATGTAGCAATGTACACTTTTGTATACTCTGCAATTAATTGAAATGAAAAAAAGTCCAATTACAGAAATTATGTTATCCTTTTTTCAAAATTTTGTTTCTGTATAGTTAATAGAATACAAACTACTGTTCAAAATCAACTTAGCTTCCAAGAGTGGTCAAGTACACACTACACAACTTTTGAAAGTCTTGGTGTTATTTTTGAACAAATAAATATTTAAATACATCATGTCTTTCTGTATATGTACATGGACATACAAATAAATACCAACAATTAAAAGCCACATGCTTGTCATGGAAATAAACGAGAAGATAAACAATCGCCATATTCATTTTACCACTCCTTTTAGTTTCTTTATTTAACCATCAATGTCCGAGATACATTCTTAACATATCAATCACTACATCCAGCTATCTACAGAAACATACTGATCAAAACCTTGATGGAATTAAAGTATATGCCAAAATATCACGTGGGTAAGTCAATTTAATGTCCACCTTGAATTTGAATTGTACAACCATATCTTAAAGCTTGTTCTGAGACATTATTACTTAAAACAAGCGTTTTTAGGTTTTAAGGTTTCTGTAATTAAATGACAATACAAATGTATTTGTGGAGAAATAGAAGTGTCAGACCATTTAGCCAAGCCAGGTCAAGTCAGACCATCTAGCCAGGCCAAGTCAGACCATCTAGCCAGACCAAGTCTGTCCATCTAGCCAGGTCAAGTCAGACCATCTAGCCAGGCCAAGTCAGACCATCTTTCCAGGTCAAGTCAAACCATCTTGCTAGGCAAAATCAGATTACCTAGCCAGGCCAAGTCAAACCATCTAACCAGGCCAAGTCAGACCATCTTTCCAGGTCAAGTCAAACCATCTTGCTAGGCAAAATCAGATTACCTAGCCAGGCCAAGTCAAACCATCTAACCAGGCCAAGTCAGATCATCTAGCCAGGCAAAGTCAGTCCATCTAGTCTGGCCAAGTCAGATCATCCAACCAGGCCAAGTAAGATCATCTAACCAGGCCAAGTCAGGCCATCTAGCCAGGCCAAGTCAGGCCATCTAGCCAGGCCAAGTCAGGCCATCTAGCCAGGCCAGGTCAGACCATCTATCCAGGCCAAGTCAGACCATCTAGCCAGGCCAAATCAGACCATCTATCCAGGCCAAGTCAGACCATCTAGCCATGCTGAATCAGACCATTTAGCCAGGCCAAGGCAGACCATCTAGCAAGGCCAAAACAGGCACTTATATCCACTTTTTTCATGCTGAATAACACTATAATCAGTAAGAACACAAGAACATAGTTTACTTTCAACACAATTTGAACATTTTGCAAGAAGTTATTTAGTTTGTAATGAATCCTTTGAAAATATGACAATGAGGTCACAATGTTAAATCAATTGGCAATTAAATTTTGTAGAGGAATGAAGAACATGTATGGTTGTATTTTGTTACTATATTCTATCATGTTACAAAAAAATGTACATTTTAATTGATAAATATATAGACTATAATATAGCAAAAAGGTAGACTATTCATATCTTTAACAAGTCCTCAACATTGTAAATCGTTGCCCTACTTCTTCTTTATAAACAACCTCTTTTTCCACAAATCAAGTAAAATACACTAAACATGGTGGGAATATCTTTTATAAAACTAACCCGACATCTTAAATAAAAACCGACGACAGGTTACATTTGTAAACCATTTCAACCTAAGTTCATAGTTACAATGAGAGCGCAGCATATCTTATTCTTAAAAAGAACTTTTGAAATCCAACTTTCATTATGAACATGATAAAGAACACTTTTTAAGCTAACTACTTTTTATGATACATACATAACATATAATCAATGTTCAGATATTGTAAAAATATTATACAATTTAACTTTGGAATGTTTCCGATTATACATTATATATTATTGGTCTTTTAATAACTTTCCTTGTACAGTGTTTGATCATGGCACTACCCCATAGCAGACAGAAGCATTTTTTATTATTGATAATTTGATATATCAACACCATGAAACAGACTTTAGTGATCCATGGATGTGTTTATTGAAAAAGACTATAGTGATCTTTTTTCATTACCAGTAATATGAACAATTCACAGTGAGCATTTACTTTTTGATGGGAATAATCTGATTGATGAAACACAGTGATCAGCCAATACTAACTCATTTAACCTTCCTCTAGTTATCATTGTATAAACATGTGTTCATTATTAAAACAGACAATAGTGATCAATTTATGATAAGTTTTTTGGGTTTTTTTTAACAGACTGGGTAATCAATGAATGACCATTTCAAAATGGACTATAGTGATCAATATATGATAAGTTTTTTTAATAGACTATGTGATCAATGAGTAACCATTTTAAAATGGACTATAGTGATCAATTTAAATATTTAAGTTTTTTAACAGACTACGTGATCAATGAATAACCATTTTAAAACAGATTATAGTTATCAATATATGATAAGTTTTTTTTAAAGACTCGGTGATCAATGAATACCCATTTTAAAACAGATTATAGTGATTAATGAATATTCGAAGTTTTAAACAAACTACAGTGATCTGTAAATTTATAATTTTTCATAGACATATGTGATCAATGAATAAAAAAGGTTTCTTAAACAAACTACAGTGATCATTTTAAACTATGGAAATGTAGATTTTGTTTACTCATTTTCATGAAATACATTCTATATTATTATTATTGTATATGAAATTACATAATCATGTTCATTTATATTGCTGAAGTACAACAGACTAAGTACCAAAATAAAAATGCATGTGACACAAAAATATTTTTTTTTAAATCCTAATGAAATTAAAATATTGTATTTTTCTAAATGATAACTTTCACTATAAGCTGGGAAATTCCTCTTCATTTGTACAGAATCACATTTTGCCAATGAATTAATGTTTTTATGAATGATTTCATGTTTCATAACAACACAATAACACAAGATTTCATATACAAATTTCAGAATTTAATAAAATTTGTACAACAGCATCCATTTTTGAAACTATATTAACATTGTATCTTATTACAATCTATTGTTCCTTTCCATACAAAAAACAAGTGGCCTGTCCTCTTTTAAAATCTTTTATCTTTTCACTATGGACTGGTTCCAATTTTGTAACTTGTTTGTTTCCCAACCATTAATGTTACTATACAATCATTAACACAGTCTAGTAAAATGTAAAAGAACATTTGAGCCAAGTCTTGCTGACTGTGGCTGAAGTTCCATAATGTATCTTTGCTTTATAAAAGCAATTTATTTACAAGCTGGACTGGTTTTGAAAACTGAAAGAATGGACTGGTCACTCTGACCCTGTTTGATTTGACTGGTTTTATTCACTTAAATAACCAACTTATATGCTGGTTTTGAACATTTGACACAAGAACCTGGTTTTTTTAGCACTCCAGACCCTGTTTGATTTGACTGGTTCCGTGTAAACACAAACAGTAGGACTGAGTTTTGAACAATTAAACAATGGATCCCACATCAAACCTGATTTAATTTAACTATTGTTACTAACTGAAGCATCCCACTGGACTGGTTTTGAACATTTACACAGGGAACAAGTTTTTTTGCACCCAATTCCCTATTTGAATGGTTATATTCACAGTAAAAACAGACAGCTGAACTTGTTTTGAACACTGGAACAATGAACTTGGGTAGTTTTCACTCTGGACCCTGTTTGATTTGTCTGGTTTTATTCACTGAATCGATAGACTGGTCCCTTTTGACCCTGATTCTTGTATGACTTGACAAGACTGGTGATGTAAAACCAACCAGTCCTTTACAACTGGCTTTTTTCATGGTCCAGTCTATGTCATAACAGACTGGTTTATGTCATAACAGACTGGTTTAAGTCATAACAGACTGGTAGCTGTGATTCGAGTCATCAGACTGGTTTTGACAGCGCCTTATAAATGTTGACCCTAATTTAACCTCAAAGTTTGTTGCTTGTGTTGACTACCAGTCCCGGCTTTCTATTGACCTCTTCCTATGAATGGCAGTTTGTACCGTAATATCTGAACACTGGTCTGAATCCGAGCTGGAATATCCGTGATGAACCTAAAATACAAATAAATGTTTGTTTTACATTTTGATTCACAAACAGGTTTAAATTTAAGAATTTTACTATTCTAGTTTTCTTTTTTTTAATTTTTAATTCAAGAGCATAACAACACCGTTGATTAAAACATTTTTTAGTTAAGAAAGCTTGTAGTTTATTTGAAATACTCTAGGCAACACTGTTATAGCTATATGGCAACTTTCTATATTTTTGCTTAAAATGTAGGCCCTAATATTAATATGGCCTAGTGGTTAAGGTGTCTGCCTCTCAACCAGGAATCATGGGTTCCAGTCCTACCCTGGTCACAATCATGTTGCTTCATATGACACCATTACTGGCTGGTTCCAGGAAGTGGACTCAAAAGTGATTAATATAAGTGCAAGAACTTGATTCGCAATAGAGCTTGAATAAATATGTTTAAACTAAAAATTTACTCTGATCTAAATCGGATGGTAGACTGTGAAAGCTATTTCATTAATCAGTAACATACCCTATCAATAAAAACATAAAATCAAAGATCCATGTAATGTTACAAAATGTCAACAAAACATTACTACTACATGATATAGGAAGCATCAATATATTCCAGCACTTCCTATTATAAGAAATTTTCTGGCAACGACTCAAATGGTTAAGCTCTGGGAAATTTACTGATATTGATAATATTTTGCATCAATACTGTAGAGATGGGTTGCTACAAAATAGAATATTACACCAGTTCTAAGCTCATGTGAGAATATATACTTTTATTTAGGTGGGGAGCTTAAACAGCTTAGCGTCCATACTGAATAATAAACTTTTATTATATACTTATAAATGAAGTACTAGTATTGAGAAATATTGATGAAATAAAATGCGCATTTTAAATTTCTGTACTTTCACTGTAAAAATTTGTTTTTCACTACAGTGAAGCTTATTTTTCATAATTTCACTGGTGTTTTGCCGGACTACTTTCTTCTAAATTGTGCCAATACACAAAATTAAAAGGAGATTCTTTCTAATCATTTGGTTAAAAAAAATAAAATTATATTATAAACAGAAAATTCAAGTTTTTTATATTGTCAATACAGGATTTATACTTATCTTGTGGTATGAAATTTATCATATTTCACTTGTGGTTACTGGCTGTCATGAAATATTTATGATCATACCACTCAATAAAAATTAGCCCTGTTTAATTTATAGAAAAAATATAATAAAAATAATATCCTCTATTTATTTCTATAAAACATTAGGCTCACCTCTAATGATCGCTGGGGGGAAGCTCTTTGCTTGATTCGGTGGAATTTCATTTCTCCGTCACTAGATAAACCTTCTAAATTTGCACATTTTGCCAGTTCTATTTGTAAATTTTCTGAACTATTTGTTGATAAGAGTCCATTGTCTCTCATTGAAACTTCACTCGTATTTTCTTCCTCGGAAATATTCCCCTCGGAACTTACACTAGAACAATATGAATGCCGACTGTGCAGTCGTCGACCTCCGTCGTCAGAACTGACCTCGCCTTCCTCTGACCAGGAATCATCTGAATTCTGTAACACAACAAGTTGTATTCTGAGATTTTACAGAATCATGTATTAACTAAATGAATCTTACAGGAAAATGCACCCATTAGGGGTATTAACGGGCATTTCTTTCTCTATATAACACATGCATATTGTAGGATTTATATAATGGAATTATGTATTAAAAGAATTTTACAGAAATACGGGCACCTTAGCGATGTCACCAGGCATTTCTTTCTCCATATCATAAATGCATATTGTAGCACCTTCAAACACATTACAAAATTGTATTTTTTTAATTTGCTAAACAACAGATAAAATAATAGCAAATTCGTTGAAATTTCTCAAAATATTAACAATTTGTTTTAGTATATATTACTGTTGTGTATTTTAAAGGTTAAAAGAACAAGAGCTGTCCGTAAGACAGCGCGCTCGACTTTTTTATTGCTTGCCAATAAAAAAAGTTTTTGCAGTAAAAGGCAATACAAGAATCTCTGTATTTTTAAAGTGAACAATGGCCATGAGCATTAAGATATTTAGTGACAGTTAAGGGCCATAATTCAAATAAAATCTTTGACAGAATTACCTTCTCCTGGACATGTTTGGGAATCATGATTGTAAACAAGTATTCCAACTTTCAAATTAATATCTCAAACAGTTCAGTCAAAAAGTGGACTGGTACTAAAAACTTAACCAAGATTCTAAGTCGATAAAAGGCCTTAATTTTTAAAACAAATCCTTGACAGAGTTACCTTCTCTTGCGTACAGATGGGGGTAATGATGTGAAATAGCATTAAAAGTTTCAAAGCAATATCTCAAAGGGTTAAGGCAATAAGTGGATTTTACCCATATTCAATGTATTTTCTAAGTCAAAAAGGGGCATAATTCTGTCAAAAACCTTGACAGAGTTATGTCCTCTTGTCTGTTGATGAAGGTCGTGATGGTAAACAAGTATGGTCAGTTTCAAAGCAATACCTCCAATGGTTTTGAAATAAAGTGAGGTGGTACAAAAAACTTAACCAAGCTCAATACACTTTCTAAGTCAAAAAAGGGCCATAATTCTGTCAAAAACCTTGACAGAGTTATGTACTCTTGTCTGTAGATGGAGGTTATGATGGTGAACAAGTATGGTAAGTTTCAAAGCCATACTTGTAATACTTCTGAAATAAAGTGGGGTGGTACGAAAAACTTAACCAAGGTGTGACGCCAACGCCGACGCCGACGCCGGGGCGAGTAGGATAGCTCCCCTTTTCATAGAAAAGTCGAGCTAAAAATCAAGAATAATCTTTTTTAGAGGATTTAAATTTTATTTGATTATCCTAACAAGTTTTTTTCAAGTTATAAGACAGTATTAATTTTGCATAAATTTGCATAAAATTTTTCAAGTTTTAAGGCTAATTAGTTTAATCTGCATACGTTATTCTTATTTTTAACAATCTTGAGGATTTTTACAAAATAATTGAGATCCTAAAAGCATTGAATTATCATAAAATGTATAAAATTCCGTGAGAAACAGTCAATAGCAAAATAGTCTCGGAGAGACGACATTCAAGGCAATCCATGAAACATAAAATTATGTTTGATAATATAACGTTACAGAGCTTTTCTAACTTTAAGTTTAAACTTTAAAGGCCCATTAAATCGCTACCATTCATATTTCTCAAAAAAATTTATGTTTGTTATTTTGTTACAGTAAGTTTCTAAAAAAAATACTCATATGCCATATAGAGGAACTATCTTTTGCTTCTTTATGCACTGTTATCAATTAGTGTATTTATAATATAATAAATTAGTATTTTGTATGGAAGTAAAAATGCTGCTTTTCTTACACTTTGCTATGCTTTTCGACACATTTATACTTCACATTCAGCACTACTTTCTTAGATGTCAATTCAGTTTACAATTCAGCACATATGGAATATTAAATAAAATTTACCTTGTACTTTATGCATTCTCTTATAATATTTTTACATCAGTATTTTTAGTCCCAATACCTTACAGCACTCCTACATAATTAGACTTTTGTGCTCTGTCATTATTTAGCAAACATTTTTCAGTGATACTAGGCATTAATATTGACTTATGAAAAAGATCTACCCCTGTGCAGATCTTACTATTCCCTGTATTTTACAGTAGAATAAAGGCTGTTTTCCACAGCCCATTATAGGTATTTTCCCCTAAAAATGCTATATTTCCTCCTAAAATGCCCTGTACACACTCATTTGTCACCAGAACCATGACTTAACAGCAGCTGATTTGAATTAGCTTCTGTTATCTATCATGCATGTCAAATTTAATTGAAATTGAAAATTTAATAAAATGTGTGGGTAAATTCCATTCTCAATTGTTGGAAATTGATTTCAGGTTTTTCCCCTTTTCTGATTAATCGTGCTCTTTTCCCCTTCAGAAAGCCACAGGTTGTTTTGAATGGTGCAAAAAAGATATCACTGTTTCTATAATATCATGAGCTATATGAAAATAGCTTACCTTTGGACGTCTATATCTCATAGAATTTCGTGCCTGCCCTACAAAATTATCCTCCTCCATTGTATTTAGTCCAAGTGGGGATGGAGGATTTGAGGGAGAGAACTCTACATCGGAAATACTCCTTTTTATTGTATAGTCTAAATTAGAATTATCTCCCTTGGTAATTTCAATAATTGGAGCATCAGTATCATTAATAACACAGGAAGATTTCAAATTTTCATTGGAGTCTAAATCATTCAACATTGTTGATTTTGATTTCGATTTTGTATCTAAATCGTGTTCATCGTTTTGTTTTTGTAGTTCGACAATGTTTTCTATATGACCCGACGGGCTGGGCGTAGTGTCATAGGTGGAATCACAAGCATTACTTTCAACGTCTGCGACACTCTCGCGTGACGGAGTGGTCTCTTTACTTGAACACGTTACATCGGAACACTGACCTTCACATCCAAAACACACATCGTTCAAGTTTTTATCACAGTTAACACTAGATGCACAAAGGTCAAGTTCATGTAATGATTTCTGTTCGGTCGGACTCCCCAATTCTCTCAAAGCTGTTGCTGGTCCCAAAAAATTAAACGTTGATGAAGAAACTTTGGTTCTGTCAACATGACGTAAGTTAATTGGATTTGATTGGAGCTCATTGTGAAGAGCGTCTTTGGTTGGACTCTTCACTGGGCTAGTAATCGAGGTAGAAATAGCGCCTTTGCTGTTGCTACGGCGATGACGTTTTTGTCTCATTCTCATCTTGGTGGGTGATGGGTGAATGTGGGTGGGGCTTAGTTCTTTTGGGGGTGGAATGTTGGCAGAGCTTCCACTTTTCTCTGGACTGAAAGTATAAAATAGTTTATAACAAAAGAAACAATTAAAACTGCAAATAGTAAATAGCAGAAGACACAATTAAAACTAAGTATCTAACTTCTCCAAAACATTCAAAATGTTGCCTATTATGTGATTCATTTTTTTTTTTCAAAAATAATTATTCTTAGGCTACAACTGTCCTTTGAATGAAATATGTAACAGATTTTTACAAAAATACAGTTAATAGTACCTAAATTCTCTTCTATTTTGAACAGATACACAAATACATTACTGTATAAGTGGTGAAAATTAGTGACGCAGAAATAGGGGGCCTATTGGAGAATTTTGTAAATTATTGAAATCGCTAAAATTTCACCTATCAAAATGTCATTAAATTCTACTTTTAAATGATTAGCTCATATTTCCTCCTCACACAAAATATCTGGAATTTCAAATTCGCTAACTTTTTGAAATGCGGAAAAATCCACTTGTACAGTATTATTGGAAAAGGAATCACTGTTACAGAAAGTATTATTCCATACCTGGTGGGTTCAGAGCCAGACTTATATGCCCTTTTCTTGCTCAGTCTATCCAGCCTAACTTCCTGTCGTATAACAGGCCGCAATATACTCTTCCTCTTCTTGGCATACATTGCCAGTTGCTGCTCACGTCTGGAAAATAAATTATTAAAATTGATTATTTGTTTGAGAAATTCGATCAATATCTGATATGTATTTTGCTAAAATTTTGATTGAACTATGTTATAGTTGAATAATGTTTAGCATTTCTAGTAAGGTTTAACACTTCAGTGTTATTTTTCTCATCCTCCGTGATCATCAATGCCAGCACTTTTAAGTGTTGAGAATTGAGTACCGCTCAAGCCGGTGCTAGGAGGGGTAAGGGATATTTCTTTTTTTCATTATCCCTCATGTACAGACTCAATCAAACCGAGTCTGCAATTTTTATGTAATTTTGTTTTGATTTAATGCTTCTGAGGGATCACTTTGTTTTCAGATTTTAATGTCACAGTGACAGTGTCTAACTCATATTGTGCTTTAAGCTGGTAAAAAATGATTTCAGCTAGAAAAATCAACAACAACAAAAATCGCTACTAAAGTAAACCAAAACAAATCTTACTTTATAAGCTCGCGTTCTCGTTTTTCCAACTGTAGCATGCAAGCTGTCAGCTCCATGTAGAGATTATTTGCACGCTCTAGTTTCCTCTCATAATGTTCCCGGACATCTTGTGCATGTCTGAAAAACAAAAACAAAAAAAAACACATAAAAATATCAGCTTTTAAAAGTTATCTGTATCTCAACATTAATTAAACACAGCTTGAATAAACATTTTAATTACACTTCGATCATGAAGTTTTGATGCTGAAACAAGTAATATTTAATCTTCGACCATAAACATTCTAAGTTCTTTGGGCCTAAATGATAAGCAAAAGATTAATCAACATTAAGAGAAAAAGCTTTCATTATATTAAGGACCTTAATTAGTTTACACAGAATTTATTACAAATCCATTGCCTAGGAAGCTAAAGGCTTAAGCACGCACATCAAGTGTTAAATTTCTTGCTCTAGAAAAACAACGAATTGCCTCTGATCAAGTAAAAATTAGAACCCGCACAGCTAGCAACCTTGAAATATTAACATTTATTATTTATATGACCTTAAATTATAAATTACCTCAGTTCCTGCAGCCTCCTTTTTACAAGCTCCTCCTCATTCTGAGCAAGATGGCTGCCCTCACTATGAATCTTCTCCAGAGCTTCACTGATCTCCATTCTCCATTTGATCTGTCATAAAAAACCAGGAATGTAAATAATGTTTTACCAAACACTGAAAGTGAAGGTCACTCTTCAAACACTGAAGGTGAAGGTCGTTCTTCAATAAATCACTATTATTATTCAACAAAAGAAGACATAGACATCATTAAAATGTCCTGCATTACACAAAATATATATAATAAAAGTAACTTTTGTTTTCAGAGAAAAAGTAAAAGGTATTTGGTTTTCATAATTAATGACTAAAGTATAGACATGGTCATTATATTAATATAATTATATGGAAGAATTGAGAACCTATTCTTATTTGTAAATAAGCATATACAAACTTACCTGGGATTTTATGAAGTCTTCCTGGTCAAAGTTCAGCAGCTCAGGGGAAGCAATTTCTAGGTGCATCAAGATCTGACGGAATGAGGGGCGATTCCGAGACTTTGCACTCCTACAAGACAAGTTTATGAGTTAAAACTAAGAATAAACCACGGTGCTGTTAAATAGAGACTGGAGTAAAGAGTAAACCACTGTGCTGTTAAATAGTGATTGGAGTAAAAAGTAAACCACTGTGCTGTTAAATAGAGACTGGAGTAACAATTAAACCACTGAGCTGTTAAATAGAGATTGGAGTAAAGACTATACTACTGTACTGTTAAATACAGAATGGAGTAAAGAGTAAGCCACTGTATTGTTCAATAGAGAAAAGAGTAACAAAATAAACACTGGACAGTTAAATAGAGAGTTTGAATCAGTGAGCAAAGCATAGTACTGGTCATAAGTGATTTGCATCTGTTAATAGAGCATATTCAAAAGAGCATGATCATATATAAAAGAGTTAAGAGCACAATAATACCTGTAATGCTAAATAGAGCAGGGCACTGATAATAGAGGGGTATAAAAACAATAGAGCATAATTAGCATTGTCATTTTACAACCTATTTTGTTTGGGATTTACTTCACAGAAACAGTATAGGTCATATCTCAATGTTCCAGCTTTACAGGTGGAGGAAGACCTAAGGTGCCCTTCCGTGCATTATTTAAGGCACGAACAGGCTCCTCAGTAGAACCACCAACATTCCGTATGCTAGCTGGATAGCTTCCTCACATGAAAGAATCCAAACTCCCTGTCGGAATTTGAACCCGTAGCGGTGAGGGGCAAGTGGTTTGAAATCAACGACCTTAACCACTCGGCCACGGACACCCCAACAACCTAGTGTTAAAACTTGGCCATGTTGCTGACAAACAAGAAAATAAAGCAGGGTCATAGTAAATAGAGACTGACTTCTTTTAAGTAGAGTTACATAAAAACTGGAGCATGATTTTGACACAGATAAAAAGTATCAACTAGTAAATAGGGCGGAATAATGCTTAATTGAAAATGGAATTACTAAATAGAGCATGGTTTTAATAATAGATGTGACAATTAAATTAAGCACAACAATGATGATGAATAGCTTAGTTAAACAGAGCATATCGCATTAACCTTCTTATTCACGCCATAAAAGCGGTACCTATTGGATTTCATATTACTATCAGTAATCGTAACCCCATTAAAACTAGTAAAACCATATTCAATATTAATTTTAATGGCTGTCAATTTATCATTTAAGTGTGCTTATAAATATATTTATATGTGTAATTTTACTCTTGAAAGGAAACCCTATAATATGCCAATCAAAGTAAGTGGCTATTTACCAGCACTGCCGCATTAACAATTTAAATCCCTCAGGAATAGTAGCTGGTATGGGTAGATGGAGGCTGTTCCGACCTACTCCCCAGATTATAGCTGAAGAGTCGACTTCCTTATATGGCACTTCTCCAGTCAATAATTCCCACAGAACTATACCATATGACCTGTTATAAATAAAGGAAAAATTGTAATAGACATAACATATTGAGCTCCTTTCTTGAACTTAAATAAACAGTGAAAATTTCGCTGTACAGTAGGCATGAAACAGAAACATATTTACTATCGAAACACTTGGAAAACATATTGACAATGTTTTGTACATTGTATTTTTATATGGGCAAGTAAAGTTCAGCTGCGGACATGTAAAAACTTCTGCCCAACTTGTCCATGGGCAAGTGACAGAACTTCATATTTCCACACCCTTGCCGTATATAATTCAAATGAGTTCAATGAAGTTTTATTAAATGTACCCCAAAAAATTATATGAAAGTATTAACCCTTAGTCTAGAGAATTTACCCCTGCAACCAGTGCAGACAAAGTTCAGCCTGCTGGTGACTACAGAATTTATCCATACCACCAATGCCAGCAATGTTCGGCCTATCTATGGTCTGTGCTGTTGACTATGCAGTCAGTATATATTTTCAAATTTTCCCTATAAATGATGAACTGTCTTGAAATGACATGTCCATTTAAGATATTTAGCTGGGCAAGGGTTATTATATATATTATCATAAATAATGGTGTGTATTTTTCACCATTTGAAGCAAATATTCATGTATTGAATTAAAATCTTCTGTATGTATCTTTACTTAAAATTTTGTCAGAATTTGTGTACTGAACTTAACTTTCCTATTGAAAAAAGACACACTTTTCCTTTGCAAAAAAAACTTCCACTATGCTTGATAATAACTGGGGAATTTTATTTTTTTGCTTTTTTTTTACTTTCAACATTCAATATCAATATTCTTAATTTGTTAACATCACAACTGATAATGGTTGCCAAATGTAACTGTCAATTCTGCCAGAAAAGGTTTTCTTCTATATTCTAGCTAACTATATTAGACTAAGCATTATCTTCCCGATTCTTCTTCCTCTCTTTTTCTTTTGCTCTCTTTTTATTACTTAATGGTAGCTAAAATTTCTATAGCTTTTCTCAATTTCCATGCAGCAATAAACACAAGTTTATTCAATTATGGTCCATAAAAAAGTCAAGGGCATTATCCATGCACTTTACTTTGATAATAGACTGTTGCTGCAGTAGTGTATTACAGTATAATATATTAATTTATTAGTCTAGCTTTGTAAGCATTTACAATACCATTGAGACATTCACCTCAAAATTGTTGCTGTGTCAGCAAAAAACAATAATGTCCATGAATGTAAGGTCGAAAAAAAAACTTTAGACTCAATCTTTATGAGTTCCCTTAACTTTACCATGATTTGTTTGAGTAATGAACTTGGATTTAAAACAGCTATTAATTTAAGGGACGCTTCAATATAAGAAGCCCATATCACAAATATACTGGTGCAACACCAGGTGCGGACAATGCTTACTTTAAGTATCTACTAGTATTATCAATTCTGGTTAAAAATATTCACCATATATCAACTTTCTCAGAACAAAGCTCATTTCTGATAACTTCCGGTGCCATCCAAGCTACCGTTCCGGCAAATGACATTTTGGTCGATTTCTCGTTCCACATTCGGCTGGTCCCGAAATCTGAGATCTTCACAACGTCGTTCTTCCCTATTAACACACTGTAAAATAAACACATGCATTACTTAATGTATATTCTTTAACCATCAAAAATACATTTTGCATTGATGTTGCCATGGATACTTTCGAACTATGATTTTTTCTTAATGTATAATATTATATAACCATAAAAACACATTTTGCTGTTTATTTTAACACAGTCAAGGTAACTACAATATGGCAACATGAAAGCTTTTTAATGTCAAAGGAAGGCAAAACGTGCCCCTATATGTAATCTTTCATGGGTCTAATAAAGACTGTTGCAGAACCACATGGTTTCATAAAAAAAGATAGATAGCTCCCTTTCGAATTTAATTTCAACTCTAGTTTCTAAGATTATTTACAATATAAACCTTTCGCCAATAGTATTCTTTGATTCTGCACCAATAAGTTAGGGTGTTTTTTCTGTCTTTGGCAAAAAACTGTCATCTCTGCATATCAAAAGATTCAGTAATATAATCAAATGGCATTAATAGAAATATTATTGGCCCCTATGATTCACAATTGTACATTTTAACACTCTCAAATTAAAAGATCAATGATTAAGGTAGAAATTGTTTACTGTATAATTAAGGTAAGCCCCTTTTTTTGGACATGCCCTAAAACGAACTCCTTGATTTACGAATAAATTGTTTATTGTATAAGGGAAGCCCCATTTTTCGACATGCCCTGAAGTTAACTATGTTACTTACTTTGGTGACTTGAGGTCTCTATGAATGATTTTATGATTATGTAAATAATTCATCCCACTTGCAATCTGTTTGGCCCAGTCTAGAACCAGAGTTACAGGTAGTTCCTTCCCGTCTCGCAAGATCTCGTATAGCTGGCCATACGGACAATACTCCATTATTATACAATAACATGGTGCCTGTGTGCATACACCTCTGTAAAATACAAAACAAAAATATACATGAAACTCATGATTGATTTGCATACGTTATACAGGCTTATTTGCCTGATTCTTTCTTCAAAAAAACTTGAACTTTAGTTTCTAATAGGGAAAGTGTGACACAAAGGTGAAAATTTTAGTGAAAGGAGTGAAATTGTGATACTAGCAATTAACCAAAGTATGAATTGCCATAACATCTCAGTTAAGGACTTGGAAAATTATCGACAATTTCCTAGGAAATATTGATAATTTTCTAGGATATTTTGACAATTTTTGACGAAAAATTAGAACTTCTAACAAATTAAGAATTACTTGGTCTTCCAAACCAATATTAAGAAGGGAAAAAACAAAGAAAGTCCTATACAATCTCAATTGTCACCAACTATTACATAAAATGTTTTCTTGGCTGACTTAATTGTCAATACTGGGACAAATTCCTGATTAAAAAAAAAAAAGTATTAAACTTCCAACTAAAAATTTTTTTGCATACAAATTGTATATGTAATAATGCAGAAATATATGTAAAATTTGAGCTAGGATTTTTATCTATAGATAAGGACAATATTTTCATGCTTGGTACCAATCTAAGTGACCAAAAAAAGTTAAGAAACAACACTTCTACAATTTCAAATTATAAGAGTATGGGTACTTTATTCTTCATTTAAAACATGACTTTCATTAATTTACTAGAATTTTCTGTAGAAATACAAAACATATTAAGATAAGAAATCTGAAGACTAAACTAAAAAACTAATCTATTTTCAAACTTTATCCTTGAAATCAACATTGAAGAAAGCAATAAATATTTGCATAATATCGTGCACTCATTTATCTCTGCATAAGAGCTACTCCTTCATTCTATAAAATATAAAAGCTAGACTGCCGATTCAGCAATATTTGAGACGGTTTTTATATTGACAAAATATGGTGTAGTCTGAATTTTGTATAATAAAACTATCTCCTTTCCAAGAAACAAAATTACTATCATTATGTTTCTTATATATAACAGTACACTTAGAGTTTCAATATAACAATAAATATTTCTTAAAGCTTTTAAAAACAAAAAACCCAGAAATGCATAGTGTTCAAATTTATTTAGGCTGGAGTAGATCTATTATAGTTGTTTATGGAAAATCGTTAATAATAGGCAAATAAATAATTGTGATACTAGCAATTAACCAAAGTATGAATTGCCATAACATCTCAGTTAAGGACTTGGAAAATTATCGACAATTTCCTAGGAAATATTGATAATTTTCTAGGATATTTTGACAATTTTTGACGAAAAATTAGAACTTCTAACAAATTAAGAATTACTTGGTCTTCCAAACCAATATTAAGAAGGGAAAAAACAAAGAAAGTCCTATACAATCTCAATTGTCACCAACTATTACATAAAATGTTTTCTTGGCTGACTTAATTGTCAATACTGGGACAAATTCCTGATTAAAAAAAAAAAAGTATTAAACTTCCAACTAAAAATTTTTTTGCATACAAATTGTATATGTAATAATGCAGAAATATATGTAAAATTTGAGCTAGGATTTTTATCTATAGATAAGGACAATATTTTCATGCTTGGTACCAATCTAAGTGACCAAAAAAAGTTAAGAAACAACACTTCTACAATTTCAAATTATAAGAGTATGGGTACTTTATTCTTCATTTAAAACATGACTTTCATTAATTTACTAGAATTTTCTGTAGAAATACAAAACATATTAAGATAAGAAATCTGAAGACTAAACTAAAAAACTAATCTATTTTCAAACTTTATCCTTGAAATCAACATTGAAGAAAGCAATAAATATTTGCATAATATCGTGCACTCATTTATCTCTGCATAAGAGCTACTCCTTCATTCTATAAAATATAAAAGCTAGACTGCCGATTCAGCAATATTTGAGACGGTTTTTATATTGACAAAATATGGTGTAGTCTGAATTTTGTATAATAAAACTATCTCCTTTCCAAGAAACAAAATTACTATCATTATGTTTCTTATATATAACAGTACACTTAGAGTTTCAATATAACAATAAATATTTCTTAAAGCTTTTAAAAACAAAAAACCCAGAAATGCATAGTGTTCAAATTTATTTAGGCTGGAGTAGATCTATTATAGTTGTTTATGGAAAATCGTTAATAATAGGCAAATAAATAATTGTGATACTAGCAATTAACCAAAGTATGAATTGCCATAACATCTCAGTTAAGGACTTGGAAAATTATCGACAATTTCCTAGGAAATATTGATAATTTTCTAGGATATTTTGACAATTTTTGACGAAAAATTAGAACTTCTAACAAATTAAGAATTACTTGGTCTTCCAAACCAATATTAAGAAGGGAAAAAACAAAGAAAGTCCTATACAATCTCAATTGTCACCAACTATTACATAAAATGTTTTCTTGGCTGACTTAATTGTCAATACTGGGACAAATTCCTGATTAAAAAAAAAAAGTATTAAACTTCCAACTAAAAATTTTTTTGCATACAAATTGTATATGTAATAATGCAGAAATATATGTAAAATTTGAGCTAGGATTTTTATCTATAGATAAGGACAATATTTTCATGCTTGGTACCAATCTAAGTGACCAAAAAAAGTTAAGAAACAACACTTCTACAATTTCAAATTATAAGAGTATGGGTACTTTATTCTTCATTTAAAACATGACTTTCATTAATTTACTAGAATTTTCTGTAGAAATACAAAACATATTAAGATAAGAAATCTGAAGACTAAACTAAAAAACTAATCTATTTTCAAACTTTATCCTTGAAATCAACATTGAAGAAAGCAATAAATATTTGCATAATATCGTGCACTCATTTATCTCTGCATAAGAGCTACTCCTTCATTCTATAAAATATAAAAGCTAGACTGCCGATTCAGCAATATTTGAGACGGTTTTTTATATTGACAAAATATGGTGTAGTCTGAATTTTGTATAATAAAACTATCTCCTTTCCAAGAAACAAAATTACTATCATTATGTTTCTTATATATAACAGTACACTTAGAGTTTCAATATAACAATAAATATTTCTTAAAGCTTTTAAAAACAAAAAACCCAGAAATGCATAGTGTTCAAATTTATTTAGGCTGGAGTAGATCTATTATAGTTGTTTATGGAAAATCGTTAATAATAGGCAAATAAATAATTGTGATACTAGCAATTAACCAAAGTATGAATTGCCATAACATCTCAGTTAAGGACTTGGAAAATTATCGACAATTTCCTAGGAAATATTGATAATTTTCTAGGATATTTTGACAATTTTTGACGAAAAAATTAGAACTTCTAACAAATTAAGAATTACTTGGTCTTCCAAACCAATATTAAGAAGGGAAAAAACAAAGAAAGTCCTATACAATCTCAATTGTCACCAACTATTACATAAAATGTTTTCTTGGCTGACTTAATTGTCAATACTGGGACAAATTCCTGATTAAAAAAAAAAAGTATTAAACTTCCAACTAAAAATTTTTTTGCATACAAATTGTATATGTAATAATGCAGAAATATATGTAAAATTTGAGCTAGGATTTTTATCTATAGATAAGGACAATATTTTCATGCTTGGTACCAATCTAAGTGACCAAAAAAAGTTAAGAAACAACACTTCTACAATTTCAAATTATAAGAGTATGGGTACTTTATTCTTCATTTAAAACATGACTTTCATTAATTTACTAGAATTTTCTGTAGAAATACAAAACATATTAAGATAAGAAATCTGAAGACTAAACTAAAAAACTAATCTATTTTCAAACTTTATCCTTGAAATCAACATTGAAGAAAGCAATAAATATTTGCATAATATCGTGCACTCATTTATCTCTGCATAAGAGCTACTCCTTCATTCTATAAAATATAAAAGCTAGACTGCCGATTCAGCAATATTTGAGACGGTTTTTATATTGACAAAATATGGTGTAGTCTGAATTTTGTATAATAAAACTATCTCCTTTCCAAGAAACAAAATTACTATCATTATGTTTCTTATATATAACAGTACACTTAGAGTTTCAATATAACAATAAATATTTCTTAAAGCTTTTAAAAACAAAAAACCCAGAAATGCATAGTGTTCAAATTTATTTAGGCTGGAGTAGATCTATTATAGTTGTTTATGGAAAATCGTTAATAATATCATAGGCAAAAGTTTACTACTTAAGGTTGTCTTACTCTTATGCTTTCCCGCCAAAACATTTCTAACATTGGTCAATATCGTAATAAATTGGTCATTTCCGGAATGTTATTTTTCACAATTTTCGGTATTCAATATTTTTTTAATCGTTTATTACGAGAATTTAGTATATAGCAATACAGGATGAGTGATTAGACATAATCTTATGCCCAAGATTTTGAAAAAATAATGTTCCGGAAATAACCGTCGGATTTGCTATGAAATTGGCCGATATTATAATTTTTTGGCAGGAAAACATTACAGTAAGACTACCTTAATCAATGTATGATTGACAATAAGTCATGTGACAATTTTCCTATTTAACTTGTAAAGGTAACTGTGTGTTAAATTATGGAGTTACCTGGCAAAACATTTTTCATTCATTGTCGTATATAAGTCAGTGTTAAGAGATGAATTAATTGTTTTACAGTTCATTTTGTTAGGTGAAAAGGTGTGATTTTAGCATTTATCACACACCCGTGCCGATTTTGCGACTCCGTAAAAATGGTATTGCACGGCCGTGCATATATTTTGACGTGACGTCATTAGCGTTATACAAACATAGTGTAAAGACGCGCTAAATGTTAGCGTTATACTATAGACGCGTCAATAAAAAAATGACTCTTATTTCACTTTAAACGGTATTTATTTTGGGTATGTGATAAATAGAATATTAAATTCGTGTAAGTTCCATACTGAATTTATTGCACTCGTTGAATAAAATAATATTATGCTCGCCAGAGGCTCGCATAATATAATTTTATTCAACTCGTGCAATAAATTCAGTATTGAACTTACACTCATTCAATATCCTCTATTTAATCATTCATGTGCCTTGTCCGGTATATACCGGAATACAGTAATTAGTGTGCTGATCCAACACTCGTCAGACAGTCCCTCGGTCATTGACAAAAGCCGGTAACTACATTTAAACTTACTTAAATGGAATGATATTTGGATGATTAAGTTTCCTGAGATTTTTTATGTCCGTCTCCTTCACGTCCCTGACTTTCTTTACTGCAACCTCCTCTCCATTCAGTTTACCAAGAAACACTGCTCCCTGTGCCCCGCTTCCAAGCCACTGTAGGTCTGAGATATTCTCAAACGGAATTTCCCAATCATCTGAAATTGAACTTTAAATATTGAAAAAACACCTTATGGCAAGTAAGCATAAACACTTATTACTACTCAATATTGTCTTCAATATTCTTTTTATATTCATTTGTGTGATACTTAATTTCATCAGTGAGAAACAATAAATATTTTCATAATTTCATAAATACAGGTAAAAGAATGAATATTGTTTTCTGTATCTAACACCAACAGGGCTTCCATAAGGTCTCAACCCGGTACGGAATTAGACCCAGCCCATTGTAGTCTAGAAAGTAGTTCTTTTAAATTTTGAAATGGCCTATTTCAAGTCATCTTAATTGATACTGGTTAAATTTTAAGTATATCTTTAGTAATTGTGTACATAAAGTTTCATTTCTGAGTTAACTTTAAAGGTTGTTTTTGATGTATTTTTGCAGGATTTCATTTCTGGGTGGAAGGTTTCAGGAGGTACTATGCACAAGAATACACACCAGTTACTATTTGGAATATTCTATAGTGATAACAGAAATTAAAAGCTGCAGAAAAACACCAAGGGCTAATGTATTTTTTTTTTGTGCTAAATTTACTTGGACTGCATTGGTGTTTAAAGAAATGGTCATGAAGTTTCGGTACCGGATTTGCTTTGTCCAGAATTTAGCCTTAAATGTGATGGATTTACTATAGGATACATATTACGAAAATTCAGTGGGCCGTCTCCATAAGCGAAAGTTTGGGAGTTGTTTACTCCTTGATTTGTGACTTCCAAAATCTAATACTTTTCCTTCTTTATCTTAATGATGTGACTTCAAATGTCTTTTGCAGTCTCTGACTTCCAAAATTTGGAACTTAATGAAAGCCAGACCCCAAGGTGCCCCTCTGTATATAATACACGCATTTCACACACGAGCTAACACTTGTGTAGAACAGCTACACGTATCTTAACTGTAACTAGTTGGAGAGCTTTGCAATAAACAACCTAGGTAGGTTTCGAACAACCTGAAGACAGAGGCAGTTGGTTTACAGACCGGAACCTTGTAGAGAATTTAACTGTTGAATCGATAACCAGACCATTGCAAAAGATAGGTAAGAAAGTGCAAACATACACTTACCAGTGCTGTCTTTTTTCATTTCAGCTACAGCAGCTTTCCCAATCATGGTCCAGACTGGGCGGAGACATCCTAGCAGTCCCTCGAAGAACCCGCCCTGAGTTGACGTATAATCTACACTGTTGAACTGATTATGACATGGTGTGACTGGTGCGGAATGTGCGGTGGGCGAGACGTCCGTGCTGGAGTTTGACTGCTCAGTCAGACTGAGTTGATCTATATCGTGGTCTAGTTGTAGCATACTGTAAAACGTATCATTCATTTCAATACAACATTGAGATATAAGTGGGAGATTTTTTAACATCAGTTTTTTTTTCTTTTTTGTATTTCTTTTGGCGTAACACTGCAATTTTCAGGGTATTTTTCACAAGTATAAATTTATAACCTGCAAGTATTTCCTCCAATCTATCAAAGAATATATTACTATTCCATAATACTGCATGTTTGTAACATGGTTTTACATTTGATAATCGTGACTTTTATATAATCTATATACACGGCTGCAGCGATTTATGAATTAATTTCATATATTTCTCAAGTAAAGAAAGTTTACAGAACATGTATTATAAATTTGTTATGAAGATTATGGATATGTTATATGGCTGTATATAAATGGTTATTTGCAATATAACCCTTGTCTGGCAGCATGCTTTATATATTCAAACAACCATTTATATAGGGACATATAACGTATTAAAAATCTTCATTACTAATAATATAAACACATTTTATTGAATTAAACACCTTTCAATGATATTTACGGAAAGAAAATCTACCTGTTTGGAAATTCAAAGTCAGAGCTGCTAGTCATCAACACCTGTAAATTACTTGGACTATTCCGACTGTTTATCGGCTCATCCTTTTTCGGAATGTCCATCGCCGTGGTACGGTGACCCGCAGCTGCTGCCATTCTTTTTGTTACGACTTCAGCTGGCAGTTGTAGGTTTCGTTCCAGCGTCATTTTGGCTATATTTCTGATTTAAACCACCTGAAATAGATAAACATTATTGTTATATGAAATTAAACCATCTAAAATAGATAAACATTATTGTTATATGAAATTATTACATTTGAGTACAAAATCTTTCATATTAATTTTATTCATATTTGTAAACTGTTTTTTGCAGCATCTGACAGATCAACTTATTTATCAGTGTCACAACTTAATTTTGTTTTAGTTTTGAAGTATTATGGATACATTCTATAACTTCCCCTCTGGAGTACGACCTTGGTGACCGAACTATGCATTATTATAAGCAGAAAATGACAAAGAGAAACAGGAGTCAAACCAACAACCTTCCATAAGCTAGATATCAACAGTTTCCTTATATGGAAGCATCATACATCCTTGAAAGGACCTTTAAGACCATAGCCATGTGATTAAACAGCAGTGACCTTATCTATTCAAAGACTGTACAACATTGATTAAAACAGTTCAGCAACAGCAGCACAATTTTCTATCTTCATATCAATTTACAACAAAAAATAAAATGTACATTCAAAAAGATACAAATTAAATTCAGATAATGTGAATAAATATACTGATGCACTGGTAGCATTTGCCCCTTGTTATTAGAACTCTTTATAATACTGTAAAGTTATAGAACATTATAAAGTAAGTTGAGTTTATATCTTAACAGTTTTCACAATAATTAGTTGTAATTAATATTTATAAACAAATCTATGACACTAAATGTTTAAAATTAAATTTTACAAAGATATATATACACAATATATATAAACACACACGTAACAATTATCTCTGTACTATCTCCTGATCTAAGTTAAATTTATCCTACATGAAATTAATTATGACTAACCCTAACAGTTTATAAAACAATGATAAACTGGACTAAATAAAATATCCAATTTCTCATTACCATATTATGGCATAGTCATTTAATATGATTATGTTTTAAAACACCTACTGAATTTTAGTAACATAAATCATCAAATTATCATTGAATATGTGGCTATTGTTTTAATTGAAGTTTTTTCTTATATCCTCCTCTACATATTTTTCTCTCACAATCCAAATATTAAGAAAGATTTGTTTCTTGTTTTTTTTTCCACAGAAGTTGTAAATTTTATTTAACAGTGTAACCATATTATTAATTGCTAAATAGCAACAGAAGCAAAAGATTGTTAAGGTAATTTGCCAATTAGTTACTTTTTTGGAAACTTATGACTATATAAAAAGATTTTGAGCAATAAAAATAAAAGCATTTCTGAGGCATATATCTTATCTAACTAATTAAAACACTTAAATTTTCTCAATAAATTGATACTTACATGTATATCTAATAATTTCCTATCTACAATTAACATTTTAATCAAATCACTACAATTTACTGTGCATCCAAAATCATAAAACAGTTCTTAGTTACAATCAAAACTACCAGCCTTTATTATTTTCAGTAAATGGAGTGAATCCCGTAAATCAAATCTGATGTATATTACGTAATGAATCTAAAAGACAAAATAAAAGTCTGAGGTTTAAGATAAATCAAAAGAACAGATAATATACCTTTTGTAAATGTGTTCATAAAGCCGTATCTTTTGACAGGGCTCACGCTGTCGGTCGCCATAGTCGCCATTTGCGATTATTTTATAAGATTGGCGATTATTTTTGCATTTTGGCTACAAAATCTGGCGATTATTTTTTACTTCCAACAGTGTTTATATAAGGTGTAAAAATCGATAGTGAATGCAGTAGACCCAATTAACACCAGCGGGGTGCATTTAATTGAGTGTCAACTTTTTACCGGTCACGTGCTGCTAACTATATTGCCCGAGGTGATAAAATACATGAGCGATGTATAATTGTATAAGTACTTTAAAGATATTGTCCAGCATTTATAATAGCCATCAAATATTCGTCAATTAGCCACAAAAATCGTTTAAAATTGATAAACTGGATATTGACTTACCCAAAATTTACCGTGATTCCAGTAATTGCAAATTTTGATTTTTTTTTTTGTTTTAAGCTACTTGACTAAATCGCCAGTGGAAAACAATGGTAAAATATTTAAAAAGTATTAAATTCCAAACAACTGTTTGCACAACAACCAAAATTGTGAATATTTCTTTAGAAAACAGGAAAAATCCGATTGTCACATATTTTCGCGACACCGATAATTTTGATATTTATTTGAAGGTGAAATAAGCTATGTTCTGTTTAAAAATCTTTACTACTATGGCAGAAAATTTGTATTACATTGGTGATGATGATATTTTTCAGTAAATTATTCAGAAAAAAGGCTGCATTCTGTGAATGAGTTTGCAAACTTGTGTTATTTCTATAGGCTAATATGACCTAGATCTACTCCAGTTCTGTGTGAAATGTGGAAATTGACAGTGGTTATAGCTGACAAAATTTGATTAGAACAAACAAAAAAAGTTGTCTGATAACAGCATTATGTAAAGTTAGAATGAATCTTTAATATTATTGTTATACAGTAATTATACTAATTATAACGTTTTTATTCTGTTCTATAATAACAATTAAAGTTGTGGTTCTATTTAAAAAAAGGTAGTTATCAATATACACAAATGTATCAGTTTATTTGAGAATCCTTATAAAACTGAAAGATATAAATGTAATGTTTATTTAATCAACTGCTTATGTTGTTAATCGCTAATCCGTGAATAGTCCGTTGAACTTTTGGCTATTATTTTTTTAAGCTGAAATTATTGGCTATTATTTTATTTGAGCCAGTGTGAGCCCTGTTTTGATAATAACTATTATAATAAACCGTCTGTTAATTATGAATAAAACGACAATTAACCAGTCTGTGGTCACAATATTTTATTAATTTACATTCGAAACTGATTAAAATCCATGTTCACACATTAGAATCATTAATGTAAAATGATGTCAAATTTTCACCATTATTTAAAGAAACTTGCTCAAAAATTGTTATTGTGTCAACCCCCGTTTTCTAAATAATCTCGTAAATTAAACGTTTCACCTTTTTAAGTGCAGATATAACGATTATTTTAAGATAATTTGAATAAACTGTCTCGTTTATAAATCGTAATTTTGTTCATTGTCTCTACAAAGGGGTATCGTAAACAAACAATGTAAACATTGTAAACCAAATGGATATAACACCTCGTCGTACAGGCAATCTATTGTTTTATATCTTAAAACGTAAAAAAAAATTAAATACGGCTTGTCACTATGACTTTGAGAACGGATATTTTTACAAACGCTGAAATACAACACTGTGAAATGAGACAAGTTTCAACTATAATCCAGGGTTCCTGTTGTAACGCGAGCCAGCTTTTTCTCCGTCTCGATCTTATGTTCTGATAAAACAGAAGGATACAGTTACATTTTAGTCTGGTGCAAAGCCCAAATGATTACAGATATTACTATTTTTGTGATATTGGTATTACACAATTCACCATTTAACAGAGTCATTATTTAACTTCAATTACGGTGTAAATGGCTAGAGTAATACATTTTCTCAGTATATTAATATCAATATAGCTTTCTTAGCTAAACGAGTACATTTTGTTGAGCAAATTTAATCTAAAATGTCTTTGTCTTTTGCCTGCCCCACAAATTGTTAATATGCAAAAGTAATATTTCAGCTTTACATATGAAGATACTGTGCAAAATTTTTTATATGAGTAACATACAAGTATTTACTAAGAATTGACCCTCAATAGCTTGTACGCTTCAAGTAATTCAGCATCACACTCAATGTAATGAGGATCAGCATCCCACTCAAAAAGATTTTTTTTATTGTTAAATTAAACTAAACCATATAGCTATGGAGACCTTACATTTGTAACCTTACCAAAGTGACTGAATCTATGTTTGTATTATGTTAATAGTCCATCTCTCAGGGTATACTATTTAGATACTTTCCAATTTATTTAGTCTCATCAATGTTTCTAAGATTGTAGTATACCAACACTCAATAACCAATTCTCAACAAGGAGCTGACAACTGTTCCACTTATGATATCAAATCTCAAAGACAGGATATAAGGATATAATATGACCAATTATTAATGGTACATTTCCTAACAAGCAATTGTCCTTATATGTCAGTTAACAAAATGTGTTCAAGGGTAACGGTGGCCTAGTAGTTAATGTGTCTGCCTCTCAACCTAGGGATCACGGGTTCGAGCCCCACTCGGGTCACGACCATGCTTCTTCATATGACACCAGTACTGGTTGGTTCCAGTAAGCAGACTCGAAAGTGATTAATATAAGTTGTAAGAACTTGGTTTGCAATCGAGCTAAAAATAAATAAGTTTAAACTAAACTAACTAACTGTGTATAAAATAGAATAGGTTGTGACAGCAGTGAGAACTAAATATATATAATCGAACATCTAAAGACCTGTTATTAAATTTTGCGGTTAAGGTTTATGCCCAATCACCGATACTTTATTGGCAATAAATTGGAGGTAAACCAAAATGAATGGAGACCACACTGATAATAAAGGTAAAGATTGTCACTGATATTTATCAGGATAAACTGGCAATTTAACAAATAATTGCTGGAGATAGTCCACTCCCTTTACCTTGTATAATAATCATCTTTGTTCATACTAATAAAGAAAATGTGAAGGGGATTTCCCTTTCTTGTTTTTTTTCAGTGACTACAATTAATATTCCCATCAATATAAAGTCACTAAAAATTTATGTTTTGCCAGGGATTCAAACTATTGGGCTGTAAATAGAGTCTAAATGTAATGTAAACCCTATTGTTGAGCTAACTGGGCTGTTTTTTAAAAGGTTAATGCAGTAAGTTCCAGACAAATTCAATTAATACAGAATCATTCAAGAACACACACAAAAAATAGAGCCAATGCTGTAACAGAATTATCAAGTTATAACAATGCATGTCATTTGCCAATAATTTATCTTAATTGATACCAGTAATGAAATTCTCCATCTTTTAAAACATTAAGTGTAATAATATATAATAATAATAAAGTTACCTGATCTGTGATATAATCAAAGCCAAAATAATATCCCAAGATTTAAATAATTCCATAATTTATCCAATTTACACATTCTGTGATTAATTAACTTTTGCATAATAAGGTTATGCATACCATTTAAAGAGACTGATTAGATCAGTAAAATAATGAAAACTATAACTATTGCCTTAATTCATAACCTTTAACAACTAACAAATTGAACAATAATTTCTATAATCTTAAAAAACACACACACATTATAACACATTTTTCTTGAAATTATAAATGAACAAGTATACACATAAAATTTACAAAGATAGCCAATGTAGAAGTAAATTATATCGGTTAACGCCCCATTTACCTCAATGAAAATTAAAACATCCATATATTGACAAAACTGACCCCCTCAAGGCATATTCTTACGCTAGTGGCTGTCATTTTAATAATAATGTATGGAAAAATAACCTCAAATCTCAGGTACAGGTCAATGTATTAGATTATATTACGTAAAAAAAGCTTTCATATCAATTATTTTTACTACCAAACAATTATCTCAACATAATAACTTTACAAGTAACTAAAAGGAACAAGTTTCATCTAATTTCTGAAAATTTTTGAGACTTCTCGCCTTTTCCCAGTGTCACAATGGGTCAGATTACCAGACCCATTCCCAATGGCAAATATGCTTTTTTTCTCAATATTTCAAAAAAATCCCAATCGAAATGAAATTCCCGATATCAAAACTGACCAATTTGCTAAAGTTATGATTCCAGTATGACTGTATGGTATCAGATAGAATTAAGTGTTTCCAACGTATTATTTCATTGTCAAATTTTAAAGTATCTTTTATGATTTGAATGATATTTGCATTGATTCGGATAAAAAAATTAGCACTTTCGAAGGAGGTTTCAAAAGGTACCAAATATTTTCCCCAATTAAGCACAATTTAACAATGCAAAATTTCCCAAACTGGGCAAGTTACATTTTTCCCAAAATGGCATGGGAAAGGCCTGGGCTTGCTCGACCTTCTTAGATTAATATAAAATTTAAACACTTCTACTTGTTATAAAAACGTCATACTGCTGTTTTCAAGCTTCTTTGGTAGAATGAGAACTTGGGGTATCCATTTGTATGTTGTTTTAATTTAAATAGCAACTAATAATTCACTATCTTCACACAAAATTATTGCTGTATGAAACTATTGCAAGTTTAAAATATCTCTGCTTCTCTTGGTTTACATGTATTGCATATTTAATCCTTAATCATAAAGATTACAAGTAAAAAACATTCATAGAATTATCAAAGCATTACATAATTATGTTATTGTAGCAAGAGACAATTTTAACTGACATCAGCAAATCTGCAAAATGCTATAATAAGATCAAGTCAGTTACAATATTTTGATTTAAAATCTTAATACAAGTATTATTTTATTACTACAAAGTACATACCTAGTTCAAAATTGAAATCTCATCTGAAAAGTAATCTTAATCCATTATTTATGATGAGTCTTTAATTAGAAATAAGGTCCCACACCAGGCACTGAACTATCCAGCGTTTATTTCACAATTGGAATTTTGGTCACATGGTCCATAAGAAGGCTACCGCCTTTTTCGACATATGAAATCAATAAATACATAAACCTTTACCGATACATCAGTTAGCTTAAGGCGATCTATATTTAACTCTATACCGGTTTTATTTATACCTTTAATTTTTCAACTGTATTAAATTATGCAGTATAAAGCACTTATTGTGGCTGTTAAATTCATTTAATACTTTAATTAACAGTCTCTTTTATATGGAGATTTTAAATTAAAAGGGTTTATAATATGGGAGTTAAGTGTATATTTTGACGTGAGAGATCAACTAATTAAATATATTTTTATTTAAGTCAGGTTAATTTTTTACCACCACAACTATATTATCTATCTTTAAATTGAAGTAAAAGAAGAACTAATGTACCCCTCTGTACTTAGGTCTGTGAGCTGAATAGACTTAGCTTCCTCTGGGAAAGAATTCTAAGTCCCCGGTGGGATTTGAACCCACAACTTTAAACAGAAACATCGGCAGCTTTAACCATGCACTTAGTCATAAAAAACCATTAAAGTAATAAGAATAAGATGATGCGGTGGCATAAAAATAAGTTTAAAGTTTCATAAAATTGATGTAAAGCCACCTGACTTACATGTATGACATTGCGTACATAATATATTTGACAAATGATGCAATTAAATAAAGACTTCTTTGTTTTCTACCTTCAGTGACAACAAAAAAACAAACACTAGAAGTTGATAATTATGCAAAATTGTTACCTCTTCTTTGTATATAAAGATGATCATTGTTATGGAAAGCTTGATTTCAAAAATACTTATAAAATCTTTATCATTTAAGAGCATTGAAGGGGAAGCCCTAGGATTTCAATCAGACCACTTTATTAACTGACATAATATCTATTTTTAGCCATAGCCTCCTTATCGCCTTGTAAACAAAATGTAAACAAGCGTTAAACTTGTGTTAAATGGCTCGATTAAGAGATATTATGATAAAGACAAGAGATTGTTTAGATAGACCTATATTTGCACATTGATTGAAAAATTT